ACCCGACACCAGGGGAACCAGTCCAAAGACTGGTCGGTGAAACCTCGGGCCGCGAGACATGCGGCTGGAGGTTCAGCTGGTGTGCGGCGTAGCGAACCGCGTGGGGCCACAGAAAATGGGGCGCACGGGCATGGATCATGGACGTGCGGGCGATGTCCATGACCAAGCCTATGCGGCGCTCAGCAACCCCATTCTGCTGTGGGGACTCTGGCAGCGTCCAGGACTGGGTGATGCCCTGTTCGCCGCAGAATCCGTCGAGAATGCCGGAGCGAAACTCGCCCCCACGGTCGAAGTGGAGACAACTGACTCGACGACCACGAGTGCCCTCAGTGGCTAGAAGCCGCCTGATCAGCGTAGCAGTCACCTCGGACTTCTTCGCAAGAGGGAACACTGTGGTGTACCTGGAGAAGTCGTCGACGACCACCAGAAAGTAACGCTCCCTCCCAGACCCCTGCGTCGGGGCAGGGCCCCAGACGTCCAAGTGGAGAGTCTCGAAGGGAGCGGTGGCCGGACGAAGGGAGGAGGAGTGGGGAGTGGCGCGTAAGCGACCGGCGACGCACGGAGAGCAAGGAGGGGCAGGCGAGAGAGGGAGCGACGGGAAGGTGCGTGGGAGACCTGAGACAAGTCCCTGACTGAGCATGCCACGTAGGCGAGGGAGCGACGGGTGGCCAAGGCGGTGGTGCCACAGGACGGTGCGGTGGGTGAGAGAGCGACAGGAGCAAGACGCAGCGACTGGACTGGACACAGCGACCGGACCGGACACTACTACCTGGCTAGACACAGCAACTGGACTGGGGACCTGGGCCGGAGGGGACGCAACGACCTGAGGGGAGGACGCGACCGGGGAGCGCTCGGTGTGGAGGACGTAGAGACCGGAGCGGGGCTCCCTGGTGAACGTGGCCAGAACAGCACCTGTGGTAGCGTCTGTACAGACTGCAGTCCGCCCACCCCCAACGAAGGTAACCGTGATCCCCCTGTCCTGGAGGTATCCAACACCCACCAAGTTCCGAGTGAACGAGGGGATGTGGAGGCCGCGCAGGACACCAGAGGGGACCACAGGGGACGAGAGGGTGGTGGAGCTACGCGCAACGGCTGGTCCAGAGGTAGGATCAGCCAGAGCCACCGACACAGGTGTGAGGAGTGGCGTAAGGGTCGTGTGGTCGCGGAAGAAGCACTGAGACGCGCCCGAGTCCAGCGTGAACGATAGAGAGGCCTCAGCCGGAGGGTCACCAGACCCAGTCGCTACACAAGCACCTAGAGCAGCAACACAAGCACCTAAGCTAGACAGGCACAAGGCTACACTAGCAGGAGGCAAGCAGGCTAACCTACGAACACGCGAGCACACAGATCCATCAGCACTAAAGTCAGCATCAACATACAAAGCATGCTGACGCGCATCGTCCATGGACAGATCAAAGACATCAATCTTACGGGCTAACAGACGAGACCAGCGAGGCGTGACCGCCAGAGGGCCCCAACGAGCCCGGTAGAGGTCGTCGAGGCGGCGGAAGCACCGCGCGGCAGAGTGGTCGTCGCGACCACAGAGACAGGGGCTGCCCGGCCCGGTGACGCACCAGTGGGTGCAGGGGCCAGCGTCACGGCGAGGGGGGCGAGGGGCCCAGCTGGAAGAGCTGCTGCTGCGGCCGGTGCTCCCAGGGCCTCCCGGACCCCACTGCGGCGGGGGACCCCAGTGCTGCTGCGGACCCCACTGCAGCGGGGGCCCCCACTGCTGGAACTGCTGCGGTGCCTGCTGCTGCTGCTGTCCCAGCTGCTGCTGCTGTCCCTGCTGTGGCTGGTGCTGCTGTGGCTGCTGCTGCTGGGGGGCAACGCCCCCACCGGTCGGGCCACCACCTGTGGGTGGGCCTGTCTGTCCTGCACCTCCTCCAAGGCCCCCTCCCCCTGGTGCACCACCGCCGCCGCCACCGCCGCCTCCGCCACCACCGCCGCTCCCACCTCCACCGCCACCTCCACCGCCGCCTCCACCGCCCCCACCTCCCCCCTTCCCGCCCTTCTTGCCACTCTTGCCCCGTTTCTGCCAGTCTGCGGCAGAAACGGCAGCTGTGTCCTCAGAGACCGACACAGCAGCAGAAGCGCGGGTAGCGGTGAAAGTGGGAAGCTGAGGGGCGGCACACCCCGCAAAGAGACGGGGGGCCACCGCATCAGTGGCGGAGGCAACGGTGAGGAGACTGCTCTCGATGGTCCCTAGAGCAGTCGCTAGGAGGTCGATAGTGAGCTCAGTGGGGTGCTTCTGAAGAAGCGCGTCGCGGGCAGTGGCAAGGCGGTCAGGGAGGCGGGTGACTAACCAGTGAACAGTGAGCCACATGGGGGGGGGAGCAACAAGAAGCTGTGCGTCGGTACAGGCAGCGCGGAAACCGGCGTCAAGCGAGCGGAGGTGAGTCACTAGGTCGGAAACAGTCGCAAACGAGCCTAGGTCGGGAAACACAAACGGCATGAGGAGGCGACTGAGGGAGGCAGAGGAGGGGGTGGAGTAGCGAGCAACAATAGCCTCCCAAACCCCCTGTGCAGTCTCCACCTGGTCAAAGTGGGCGGCCTCAGTCGGGGGGAGAAGCTCCGACTGAGTGAGAGCGGCGGCTGCGTCACGCGAGAGCCACACGTCCCTGGCCAGGACCCGACGGTCGTAGTCTGCCTGGGCCGTAGGGGTCGGCTCCGGGGCGGTCGGCAGGGCGGCGGGGGACGGGGGGGCCTGTAGGGCACCAGACGCGTGAGCCCACAGAGTGGCGCCGTCCTGCCGCTGGCTGGTGAGGAAGCGCGTGGTCTGGCGCTGCCAGGTGCTAATCTCTATCGGGCGTCCCTCCGCGTCGAAACGGAGGCGACGAGACTCCATGACTGATGCCATGCTAGAGGCGGCTGGAGCTCGACAGAGGCTGAGCTAAGAACGAGGAGGAAACCTACGGAGCGCCAGGAGGGAGAACGGCGGAGTGAGAGGCTAGGAGCACTGAGTGACCTAGGCTAGGCGTGAAACGGAGGATCTCCAGCTACAACGGCTAGGGGCGCGATACTAGCGGCTAAACGGCTCGAACCTAGGCGGGCGGCGAGAGAGAGCGGCTGCCAGCCGCTAGGTGAAAGACCAGTGGCAGTAGAGCTGGGGAGGGCCCCGCGCACAAGGCGGTGGCGGGGCTAGGGCGCATGCCAAGGGTGGGTAACAGGAGGAGAGGGGCGGGGGGGGGAGTTTGCGACGGTGGAAATGGGCGGGGAGGGCGGTTTTGACGGTGGGAATGGGCGGGTAGGGCGGTTTTGACGGTGGGAATGGGCGGGTAGGGCGGTTTTGACGGTGGGAATGGGCGGGAGGGCGGTTTTGACGGTGGGAATGGGCGGGGAGGGCGGTTTGACGGTGGGAATACGGGCTAGGTCGAAAGCTGGGGCGACGGGCTAGGGTGTACGGGCCGCGCGTGGGCAACGGGCAGGGCGCACGGGCGCCGCGACGGGCTGGGGCAGAGCCTACGGGCGTCGCGACGGGCTGGGGCAGAGCCTACGGGCGTCGTGACGGGCTGGGGGAGAGCCTACGGGCGTCGCGACGGGCTGGGGCAGAAATACCACTCTCGCTATTTTGATGTACACTATGTCGCAAAAGATTCGGCTTGCCATGGTCTTCAAGCTCCGAGGGCGAAGCTTTCGGTTCGGATGGCCCTGAAATTTGATTCGCTATGAGCTTCGCTGGACCAGCCCAGAGCAGCTGAGGTGCGGTAATCACGTACACACCAGGCTCGGGCGAGGTTTGGTTGGGCACTGCCATGCTCTTGGCGTGCCTCTGCGAGGAAAACGGGCTTCCAGCACCAGCCCAATGTCGAAGAAATCCCTGACTGCGCCTGGTAGGTCCGTGTCCGACCGATAATTTTGAAGTGCTTCTATGGTGATTCGTGAAGCACAGAATGCTTTCGTTTCAGTTGATCAGCATAAACCTGACTCCATTATTCCAAGTGCTCGTCTCTCGTCTGTCAAGCAATTACTTACTTACTACTCGCTTCGGAAATTCCTGTATCTTGATTAGCCGTTCATGGATTCGTCGTGTGGTCTTCCCCAGCGTAGGAGCGCGGCTGTGTATGTCGATAGAGAGTGTGACATGATAGATCCGTTTGCAACTCATCAGGCGGCTTTTCAACATTCCTTCAATTCACAAGCTTTTCCATCTGCTTTTCTCGAGCGTCGGAGCGCTGCTATTTATGTCGACAGAGAATCGGACTGTTCTTCTCCGAGAGGACGTATTAGCGATTTGAGTTTCCAAGACAATGCTCAGAATGCGTCCGTTTTCAGTTCAATAAGTCTGATAAACAACCAGACGGCACTGGTTTGTTTGTAGGAGAAACGGCAGCATGTGCGTTAGCACAGGCAGATGCTTTAGCGAAGCTGTCGGTGTATGTGCGCAAGCCTCGTTGGGACGAGGAAGGCGCAGAAGCGCGCAGCAGCATCCGCGGCAGCAGCAGGTCCGCGCTAGAAGCTATGAGTGCGCAGGTGCGCGGAGCAGCATTCGTCGCAGCAGCAAGAAATTTATGTGCGCGCAAGCTAGCAGATCGCAGCAGCAGGCGCGTTTCGAGCATCGGCAGCGGCGGCATGTGCGCTTCAAGCATCGCGCAGCAGCAGGCGCGTTCGCAAGAACAGCAGCAGCAGGATCATTTGCAGGATTGACAGCAGCAGGTGCATTTGCAGCATCGGCAGCAGCGGCACATGCTCTCAGAATCTCAGGCTCAAGTCAAATATTTTTCTTAGCGCAGCGCTGGCGCATTCGCAAGAACAGCAGCAGCAGGATCATTTGCAGTATTGACAGCAGCAGGTGCTTTCGCAGCATCAGCAGCAGCGGCACATTCTATCAAGATCCTACCCATCACGTCAAATATTTTCTATCTTCTTCCTTCGCTGTCCCACGTCTCTATAAAAGTCCAGAATTTTCATACCAAGTGATACATTTTGCACTTTCCGAGCATGGTCACTCACACCAACGTTCTTGATGCCCTCGATCGTTCCCTGCATCCCGTCGCCAGTGCTCATCCAGCGCTCATCTCAGCTGTCCATTCCGCAGCAGCAGAAATCTCGACCGTTTGCCGCCCGTCCGAAGCTTCAGATCCCTCGAACCCACTCCACAGCAGCCACCAACTCTTCAAAATCGCCCCTCCCTCCCTCCCACTCCGCTCACTCCCACTCCCCTCACTCCCACTCCGCTCACTCCCACTCCCCTCACTCCCACTCCGCTCACTCCCACTCCCCTCACTCCCACTCCGCTCACTCCCACTCCCCTCACTCCCACTCCGCTCACTCCCACTCCCCTCACTCCCACTCCGCTCACTCCCACTCCCCTCACTCCCACTCCCCTCACTCCCACTCCGCTCACTCCCACTCCGCTCACTCCCACTCCGCTCACTCCCACTCCCCTCACTCCCACTCCGCTCACTCCCACTCCCCTCACTCCCACTCCCCTCACTCCCACTCCGCTCACTCCCACTCCCCTCACTCCCACTCCGCTCACTCCCACTCCCCTCACTCCCACTCCGCTCACTCCCACTCCCCTCACTCCCACTCCGCTCACTCCCACTCCCCTCACTCCCACTCCCCTCACTCCCACTCCGCTCACTCCCACTCCCCTCACTCCCACTCCCCTCACTCCCACTCCGCTCACTCCCACTCCCCTCACTCCCACTCACCTCACTCCCTCTCCCCTCACTCCTCCCCTCGCCTTTTCTCCACCAGCACTGCAGCACCGCCATCGTCCCCGTCGTCCCCGTTTGCCCATTCCCCACAGCAGCCATCACAGCAGCACGAGAACCTCCCCTGGTTACCAGCAATGCGGCACCGCCAGGGGTTTGAAGAAGTGTTTTGAGACGTCTCAAAACACTTCCTCAAACACGTGGCCATTCCCCACAGCAGCCATCACTGCAGCACGAGAACCTCCCCTGGTCACCAGCACGGCGGCACCGCCAGGGTCCCCGTTTACACGGCCCCAACAGCAGCCATTACCGCAGCACAAGAACCTCCCCCAGCTGCCGCCTCCCCCTCCCGCGCCGCGACGGCTGGTCGTTTTCACAGGTACGCCCTATGCGGGGGAAAGGCCTTTCCATTAGTCTCCTAGTTAGGGTATCCTTTACTCTTGTTCTTTCTTGCTCAAGCGGGTTCTCCAGCACTGCTGCCCGTCCAACCATGAGTGACGGATACCTCAACGCCCACGCCACCTCCACTCCCCTCATTCAGCAAAGCCCTTCACGTAGTCTCCTAGTTAGGGTTACCTGATCGCTTTCTTTCTCGCTCAAGCGGGTTCGCCAGCACTGCTGCCCTTCCATCCGACCATGATTGACGGATAACTCAACGCCCACGGTGAGCACTGCTGCCACCTCCACTCCCCTCGGTGGGCAAGACCCTTTCTATTCGACTTTTACCTCCACCCTCTCCTCCCCATCCTTTTGAGTCGACTCAAAAGTCCCCTCGGTGGGCAAGACCCTTTCTATTCGACTTTTACCTCCGCCCTCTCCTCCCCATCCTTTTGAGTCGACTCAAAAGTCCCCTCGGTGGGCAAGACCCTTTCTATTCGACTTTTACCTCCGCCCTCTCCTCCCCATCCTCCTTCCAGCCAATGACATTGTGACCCCGGCACTCACATGTACACTTATGAGGCGCCTAACAAAAGCAGGCGCTTCAAAATTCATTGCACCCCCGGCACTTAAAGCGGCACTGGTATGCAGCCTACAGTATGTTCCTCGTATGCTCCGTGAATGCGCCTCACAATGTCTCTCGTGTCTCCGTTCAGGAGATGAGATAGAAGCTCTGGCGCTCAGCTGTGTTAGACCAGCAAGCACTTGCGGCAATTGAAGCTTCGACTCAACTCGCGTATGCTCCTTACATGCCCCTCACATGTGTGTTGCACTGTTTGCCTGCAGGCGACGAGATAGAAGCCCTGGCACTTACAGCTGTTTTCGGCCAGCATGCACTCGCAGCAAGGAAGCGAGGCATACGTTACGATCAACTCGCAATGTGCCCCTCACATGTGTGCTGCATTTTTTTGTTTTCGTGCAGGCAATGAGATAGATGCCCTGGACTGGAGCTCACAGCCGTGTTCAACCAACATGCGCTCTTAGGACGCCTTGCTTTCTCCTCCACCGAGGAACACAGTTTTTCCCCTGCAACCTCTTCTCAACGCCCCCGAGCTATCACCTCCTTCCTGCCACCAGCACATGTTCTCAGGAGCCCTCGCTTTCTCTTCCACCAAGGTGCACAGCTCTCTTCTGTTGGAGTGGCTATTGAAAAAAGAGCGGACTGAACGAGAAGGTTTGAGCATGTGCTGTGCCCGGCTTTTTCTGTTGGCGGTGGAGGCCGCTGTTGCTGTCATGGCTCTACACCATGTGAGTGCGGCACTGCACTGTGTGTGCATGATGCTCACATGCACACTTCCAATCCTTCTCGTACCTACCTGCCACCTCCCTCTCTTCAGGGCATGATGATGCCTCCCAACGTCAGCCTCTTTGATTTTTTGTCAGCTCAAGAGTCAACTTTCTCGCCTCCCTTTTGCCCCACCACTTTCCCGATTCCTTCCCTCCCTGCCCCATCTCCACTCTTCCAGGGCATAGTGCCGCCTAACGTCAACCTACTCACTCCGGATCCTGTCTTTTAAGGAAGCTTCCTGCCCACAGCAGCAGCAGCATCATAGCCCATGAGAGCTGTCATGAGCAACTCGTTTGGCTTCGGAGGGACTAACGCTTCCCTTGACTTCGACCTCCCTCTTCTTGCTTAGCCCTTTATACTCACTCTATCAGCAACAGCAGCATCAGCAGCACCAGCGGCGTCAGCAGCTACAGAAGCACCAGTAGCAGCAGCGGCACCAAAGCCCATGAGAGCTGTCATGAGCAACTCGTTTGGCTTCAGTGGGACTAATTCATCCCTTGTCGTCGGCCTCCCTCCACTTTCTTAGCTTTCCATGGCCAGCGCCAGTCGCAGTGGCATCAGCAGCGGAATAGAAGGCATCGGCATCACCACCATCAAAGCCCATGAGAGCTGTTCTGAGCAACTCGTTGGCTTCGGAGGGGCACACGCTTCCCTTGTCTTCGGCCTCCCGGCCCTGTCCTATTCTTTCATACCACCAGCACCAGCAACGGCATCAATGCTGTCATGGGCACCTTTCCTCACAATGGTAGCAAGTGATGTGCATCTGCTCGCGAAACTGAGAAGCGGACCCTGTATGCATCTTCCTTACAAAACCGCCCAGACGTGAAGCTTCTTCCTCTCGTTCTTGAAACCTTCGGTTGCTTCAGCACGGCATTTCTCAGCTTCATCAAAGACTGCAGCAGACGAGGGGCGACTCGACTTCGTGACATGGGTGGTGCATCTGACCTGATTCCAGAGCTCTTCGAGACTAGCTACTTCAAGAGGATTTCCTTGGTGCACCAGCGTGAGCAGGCTCGAACCATCTGCCGTCGGACACAAATTCGTTACAGTGTTGACACACCCTCCGCCCCACCAGATCCCACCCCACCCTCCTTGGCTGACTTTGCGTACCTTGGTGTTGGTTCTTGAGACCTCATTGGGGGTCTCAACCTAGGATTGCAGTTGGGCCATTGCTAGTTAGGTAGCCTCCTGATGCTCAAATCCGTCTGTATCTTTTGTACACATATACATTGTAAATAAAGCGGTATCATAGTACCCTCCCACGGTACTGACCGGGGTTCGATTCCCCGGATGCGCATGCAAGGCTTTATGTCATGGTGACATGCTGTTGTACTGGGCTGATCTTTCTCTGCATCAGTGGTGACTATTTATGCTACCCTCACCTTCTCCCATGTGAACAATGCTGCAACTGCTACTGTAGCCCTGGTAAGTGCATTGCGGCCCAGGGCAGCTGTACTGTTTGTTTTTGCTCCACATCTTCTCTGCTCATTCTATGCTTCCCTCACCTTCTCCTCCCACGTGCACTAAAGCAGCAACTGCAAGTCAACATGCCTCAACTCGCAGTCTCGCTCCCTTCCCTGAGAAAGGTTGAAGGATATTGTAAACCCAAGCTAAACAACAGTTTGCTAGACACAGCTGCTGCCACGCTACGCCATGCCTCCTACGTGGGGATCCATTGGTTCCCTGAGAAAGGTTGAAGGATATCGTAAAGCCGCATTGCTGGGGGCATTGTGGCGCCACCCAACCTTCTCAGCTTCGTGCTCATTGGGTGTCTACTCCCTGCTCTTGAGGTGTCCCCATCCCCATGTGCTGTGCAAACCTTTGCCCCTCCACGCAGTCTCACTCCTTTTTGTTGCTGGGGGTCATGTGGAGCTACCCAACCTTCTCAGCAGCGTCTACTCCCCTGCTCTTGAGGTGCCCCCATTCCCATATGCACCCGCTTATTCGTTGTGCAAATGCTGGTATTAACCTTCTTGATTGGATTTTGTGCTTCATATTACCTACTTGACGTGTTTGTATCAGCAACCTCCATAGTAACCGCTCATTCCCCTTCTGCTCACCCAGCATCCACCCTGCCCTCACCCACATTTTCCCTCCGTTAACCCCTCATTCCTCCTGTCCTTGTGCGTTCATCCCTTCCCTGAATACCCTTGCCTTGCACTCACCCGAAATGCCCATCCGCGCATTTACCTCATTCCCCCTACACTGACCCCTCTCTCCCCATGCCCCCACCCACTTGACATTCCCCCTTTTTCCTAAACAAATAATTCCTTCACGCTGACCCCTCTCTCCCCATGCCCCCACCCACTTGACATTCCCCCTTTTTCCTGAACAAATAATCCCCCCACGCTGACCCTTCTCTCCCCGTGCCCTCACCCACCACTCCCCCTTTCCCTACACCCACGAACCCCCCTAACTTTACCTATATCTCCCTGGTTGCACACTCTTCTTTCCCCAAGGCGCTCATCCATGATCTCCCCTGCACTCATCCCTCAGCATTCCACTGACACACACGTTACCTATAATCCATGATTCTCCCAGCGCTGGTCCAACAATCCCCCCCCCCCCACACTTATCTTTCCCCCAGGAGCTCAACCATGATCCCGCCCCCCTGCCCTCGTCCCTCATAGTAACATCGTTCCTTTGACACGCGCATGATTCTCCCAGCGCTGATCCAACAGTCCCCCCCGGCCCTCGTACACTCCCATCTTTCCTTCAGGAGCTCAACCATGACTCCCCCCTTGCCCTAATCCCTCATCGTTCCTTTGACATGCGCATCACACATCAGCCACGATCCTCCCAGCGCTAATTCAACACTCCCCCCCGCCACCCCCGCACACTTATCTTTCCTCCAGTAGCTCGTCCATGATTCCCCCCCTGCCCTCGTCTCTCATTGTTCCTTTCACAAACACATTATTCCCCCAGCGTTCACCCACCAGTCCTCCCTCCTTCCCCCTCTCCCCCCCCTGCTCAACCATCTTTCCCCAAGAGCTCACCCATGACTCCCCCCTGCCCTCATCCCTCATCATTCATTCCTGCATTAACCCCCGTTATTCACCCAGCACCCACCCAGCAGTCCCCCTCGGCCATGCATGAAAGTGTGTGTGTGAAAGCAATGGAATTTCTGGGCACACGGTAGTAACCACTCATCATCATTGAACCTGGACGTTTCAGAAACAGGAGTGAACAATGAAAAGAGGTGGAGCAGAGGAAGAAAATGCATGCAGCAGCATGCTCAAACAGGATAAGCCAAGACAGAATCGTGGTCACTGGTCCTCAACCCATCACTGCGCCAGGCACATGTTTAGCGATGGCAGCAAACACATGACCATGGCCCTGCTTTTGAGTCGACTAAAAAACCCACCCCATCACTGCCCCAGGCAGAGGTTTAACAAAGACAGCAAACACATGACCATGACCCTCACACCCATTCTTGTGTGATGTGGCGAGCCTAACTTGCAAAGCATGGGAAAGGGAAGGGTGCCTCTGTGATCGCCTTTTCAACACCTTAACTCAACATACTGTAATCCTCTCTTTCACCTCAGTATTTGGCCTTACTAGTGCGTGTATCACTCACTGTTCCAATTGACTTGCCACTGCTGCTGCCACCGCTCCCTCTGCTGCTCCTGCCGGGGCATGTAAGCTTGTGGGAGGGCCAGTGCGCCTTTTGGCACTCTCTGCTGCAATACGCCACCTTGCCACACCCACCGCAGCTCTTCAACTTCACACTGTCACCACAATCCACCGTCCGACACCCCTCAGCACCGCATACACGCCCCTTACAAGCAGCAGGACCAGCACCTTTTGAAACAGAAACCGGTGCACTCGAATGGTTTGCTTGCATCACTTGAGCTTCCACTCTCCCTGAAACCCCCACCCCCTTGGGTCCGCCAGCCTTGTCTCCTCCAAAGGCCGCCTCCTTTTGAAACCCCCACCTTCTCATGGCCTCCTCGCACTTCTTGTCAATCTCATCTAGAATACACCGACACCTTTCGGCACCACCAGCAGCAGCAGCTGGACATGATTCAGTATGAATCTGAGTCTTTCCCCTTCCTCCATTGCTCCTTCGTGTATCTCTTGTCGCCTTCAATGTTACATCCTTATCGTCGCTACTGTGTCTAATGCGGTCCCACTTGCTGTGATCCTGGTGACATGCTGACAGCTGCGACAGCATGAGCTGATACAGCAGGCCAAACAGCAAGAACAGCAGCGGTTTGAACAGGACGAGGGACAGCAACGCTAGAAATCCCACGGCAACGAACATTGTCTCAAGGAGAGGAGAAGCAGGAGGAGGAATAAGCACTATGATGGTTGACCCGGATTTCAGCTTCGCTTGCTCCACAGTGGAATCAGGAGAGAGGTAGACCTGCTCGTGCCCTAGGACCTCGAACCGAACCTGCTGCTTCTTAACCCCCGAATTCAGGGCGTTCCACGAATCTCGTATTCCTTGATGCTGATATGGAGCTGATGACAGGCAGCAGTTGGAAAGACGGAACTGCAAAAGTCTGTTGAAGACTGATCCGAGAAACTCGTTCGGAGAAACAGTGAGGTGAATGTCCACGTGGGATGAATCTAACGAGACAGGTAGATTGTCTCCGGAATAGCTGTTGACGAAGCTGCTCGTGGCGTCACTATCGCGGGTGCATGATTTCGCCGGTGCGTCGCCTCGAGGCTCGCCTGATTCGGCTCAAATCAGAGCCAATGGTACCCTGAATCGGATGTTGAAGGCCATGAAAATATGTTGCAACGGACAATGCAATCGCGATGTGACAGTTTCAGGAATGAATACGGCCTTTTCACAAACGTCGGACCTGCCAGCAGAATGATATGCCTCAAGCAGTAAGTTACGAATGGGATCTCACGTATCGATAACGTCCACCCAGTACTAAATCCGAGGTGCTTTTCGAGTCGACTACAAAACCACGAACGTCGGTTCCACCAGCTGCATAACATGCCCCAAGTAGGCAGCTATGAATTAGGTTGCGCGTATTGGGGAAGTTTTAACTCGTAATTCCGAGGAGATGTTACCAGCATAATACCCATAACAAGGATAATATGATCGTCAATAGTGACCGCAATAGCGGCAGGCCTGAATATGGTCAACCATCAAGAATCGCGTCGCCTTGATTTTTCTTGAAACCCCAGAAAGTACTGTCTTGCAAGTGCATCGGACCGCGCATTCCTCTCTGGTCGACTAAGAAATAACCTAAGATAAGGAGGAGATTCGTCCTTCTCACCAAGCGCTTGCGAATCGCAAGTGACCTCTCTGGTGTGTGCTTTGCCCCTGCCAGGATCTGTGTCATGTGAATGGCGCAGCTAGACTGGAGGGATTCTAGTGCCCGATTCCTCGATTTGAGGCGTCGTCCTACAAACATCCAGAACACTGTACTTGAATCATTCTAAAGTCCTTACCTTGAATCAAACTGTCTAGTGGGTGAAAAGGAAACTCGAAACAGGTCTGAAGAATTCAGTTGGAGCGATTGTAAGGATGAAATTCGTCCATATCCCTTGGACGACACGGATGGTCACTTTGTATGACCCAAATTCCGTTGCAGCTCACCCTTATTTTCAGCTCGTTTAGGGTTCCATGATCCATCATCCATCCGTCTATTTACTCCTGGTTCAGCTCATTTGGGGTTGCATGGTCAGACCTACCGTATTTGCATTTTAAGGAGATCATTGTGCACCAACCAAAGGAAGCTGAGGCTTGTGCAAGTTGCATATGATTACTTTTGAAAAGCATGGCAGAAATTATGGCAATGTTGGAATTGGCAAGTACGAAGGAGAGCAGCTAACGTTACTACAAGCATGGGTTCCAGTGTCATCTTGCAGTGAACTATGGCAAATCCTATTGTGCTGCATGCCGGCTTCTCTACTGAGTACCAGAAGCATCTTGCGGCAAGCTGCTTGCATGGGCACACTCATTGCGCGCAACCAGAAACATGATGCCATATCTATTTGCAGATGCCAGTTCTCGCCAGCAGTGAATGCTGACTTTTATTTCAAGTACCGGTAAGATTTCTTGAAAGCACATGCTTAGTCTTAGGGCGTATTCCTATCCTCCTATCAAGAAAACCTCCTATCAAGCTCTCACTGGAAAATTCCCTAAACCCAAAATCTCTCGCTACTTTTACCAGGCAAAAGGTACAATCTTGATAGGAGGTTTCTTGATAGGAGGCCGTTGGAATACGCCCTTAGTCGTGATTGTGGGATTCTTAGCAGCCACTTGTCATGAAACCTGTGCGGATCCAGAAGAGAGAAGGGCAGGGGGGGCGTGTGGGAAGGAGCAGGGAGAGCAAATGCATTTACAGGCATGCATCAATCGAACCGATGAAGCCAAACCACATGTACGGTAATTGTTCATGTGCCCCAGCCATGTGAGAAACAATTGCCTGACATCAACAACAGGCACATGAGCCTTGAACCTTGTTTTGTTACTTTACTCTGTGTTAAAGCTAAGCTCCACTCCTCTTTACTCCTCTCGCCACTCAGCATGGGAAAAAACGCAAGGACATCGATTTAGCTTCCCCTCCACTCACCTGTGCTCGCTGCTGTCCTTACTCTCTCACCTTGCCACTCACCTTGACACTCACATTGCCACACATGCTGCCACTCACATTGCCACACATGTTGCCACTCACATTGCCACACATGCTGCCACTCACATTGCCACACATGTTGCCACTCACATTGCCACACATGTTGCCACTCACATTGCCACCCACCTTGCCACTGGTCATCCCACTCTTCTTCCCGCTGCTCCTGCCGGGGCATGTGAGCTTGTGGGAGGGCCAGTGCGCCTTTTGGCACTCTCTGCTGCAATACGCCACCCTGCCACACCCAGAGCAGTTCTTCAGCTTCACACCGCCACCACCCCCCACCATCCCACACCCCACAGCACCGCACACACGCTCCCCACCACTGGCAGCAGGACCAGAGCCACCTGCGACCGAAATGGGTGCACTTGCATGCTTCGGTGTGGCACTGGTGGATGGAGCAGCATGGGAGAAAGGGGCAGCAGCGGCAGCACAAGCGGACGAGGAAACAGGTGCGGAAGAGGCAGCAGGGGTGGAAGGGGCAGCAGGGGAGGCAGGGCGGTAGCACGGCTCCCCCAGCAGCATCTCTCGCAGACATGCCAGCAAATTGACTCCCCCCGGCCATGGCTTCAAATAAGCCAGCTCCCCCCCCTGCTTGCCCTTCCCATCACCCCCTTTCGTCCGTCGACCCCCACTGTCACTGTCATTTCCGTGACTATAGCTGCTGCTTCCGAAGATGTCGCTGAGATTGCTGCTTTCACTGATAATTTCAGAAAGCCTTTTCTCACTGTTAATGTCTTCACAGAACCTGGGCATGGCAGCCCTTTTCCACAGCTCACGCCACTTGTCGCTCGTAATCTCCCCTCCCTGCGCTCCATCCCTTCCGGCCCGCTCCTTTCCTCCCTGGCACGTGTCACGCAGTGCCTCGCCCTCGCGCTTCACGTCGCCCTGCCATGCAAACTCCACCGCCAGCCACCACATCTGCACCTCCTCCCACACCCTCCCGTCCGCTTCCTCTCCGTCTCGCAACCTGTGTAGGTCCTTCCGGTCGGTGATTCCCAGAACGGGGGCGGCCCATTTTGGAGCCACGGCCAAGAGGAAGAGCACAGGATCGAGCTCTGCCCGATTCTGTAGCAGAGCCGACCGTAGAAAGCCAGGCACGCTGGCAGGGAAAGGCGGCACACCCATACGAGCAGCAACCCGGTCGAATTCAGGAGAGAGAGGCGGGAAGATGGATACAAAGCGGTTGAAAAGGATGGAGGCAGGTCGGTAGGCGTAGTTGGCGATGAGCGTGAGGAAGGGAATGCTACAGCTGTAGACAGCAAGGCAGGGCTTGCACTGAGCGCAAGCAGGTGGCTTGACCAGATGCCCGGCAAACTCCACTAGGAAATCGGCATCAGCAGTGCAGCGAACGATGGGGTATTTCCTCTGCACTAGCGGCAGCAGCTTTGTGAGCAGCTGCTGCAGCAGCCTCTCGTCTAAGTCACACTCCACTCCTCGAATTCTCTCTTCTTCCCCATGCCCTCTGCTCCTTCCCTCCCGCTTGTCCCTCCCTTTGTCTCCTCCCTCCCCCTTTGCAGTCCCAGTCTTGCCTCCTGATTTTGACCCCTGTCCGCCCTTCTCTCCTGCCCCATGCTCCTCTGCTGTCCCACTCGCTTCCTCCACAATTCCCAGCCGAAAGAATTTCGCACTCGGATCATCAGGAAGCTTCGCAGCAGCTTCATCGCCCCGAGGCCACTCCTCCCACTCCCAGGGGAAGTTGCTTTGGTCCACAGGCTTGGGAATGGCGCCGAGCCGGACCAGCAGGCTCGGAAGGTCCCGAAGCGGGTGACGCATGGGCCGGACCCTCCCCTGGGGGCTGTCCTTGCAGCACTGGCTAGCGGGGACGATTTCAGACCCATAGGTGCGGGCCCACTGCAGAATGCAGGCAGCACGATACGTGAAGACTGCAATCACTGGGTTTGTGTTCACAGGATTGGTGTTCAGAGGCACGGGCCCCACCAGAGCAGCATCTCTGGGACGAAACGCTGTTGGTGCTGAAGCCGATGCTGGTGCTGAAGCCGATGCTGGTGCTGAAGCCAATGCTGGTGCTGAAGCCGATGCTGGTGGCAGTGCTGATGCTGCTATTGCTTCACCTCTGCCTGCTGCCCCTCCTTCACCCTGCGCCCTCCGTCTCAGCCTCTCCCTGGCCGTTTCAATAGCTGCATCCTCCACCCATGTCTTCCTCGCAGTGTTCCCATCCTGGAGGTAGAGATCGGTCTCCCTACGGTACTGTGGCGAGGACAGCACTGCAGCAACGCAGAGAGCAAAGTCAGTCGCACCCATGCCACTCACATACATGCCCTTGGGAATTTCCGTGCCTTCGAGATTGCTGCTGCTGCTGGCACCACTGCTGCTGCCCCCCTCACTGCAGTGGCTGCACCTGAACTCCCTCCCTCCCCCCCCTCCATGCTCCAGAATCCAAGCCATGCCATCCACATACCTCTCCCACGCACGCCCCTTCAGATTCTCCCTCCACTGCCCACCCTTCCCATCCCTACCATCCTTACCACCACCTTCCATGCTTTCCCATGACCCTTCCGAGTTCCCATCATTCTCCATCTGCCGTTTACCCTTGCTTCCTCCCGCAACTCCCCTGCCTGCTCTCCCCTTCCTCTCTGCATGCGCCTTCTCCAGCCCGCCAGACAGTAGATTCTGCATGAGAACACCAAACCCTTGCTCCAAATCCCTGCTTTCCTTCACCCCGAGAATCTGAACCAACATGGAAGCGAGAACGTCCTTTTCCCTCTGCCTGCGTGCCCCTAGCGCACTCACGATGGGTGGATAGGCCATGGAAGTCGATGCATGCGCTCTGCATAGAGTCACGAACCGCGGGCACCTCGCTACAAGCACGAGGTAGGCAGCGAAGCTGACAGCATGGCGGTAGGCAGCCCAGCAGCTGCTGCAGCGCCAGCAGCAGGAGCACGCTGCAGGCGAAACAGAAGCAGCAGGGGCAGCAGCTGCAGCAGCAGGGAAAGCATTCGTAATAATAGCGACAGAGCCAAGGGGTATGCCTGCGGCACTTGGAATGTCACTTAGAATGTCAGGCAGGCAAGATCTGATCCTCCCCAGGTCCATGAGCACGCCCACACGAGGCTCAGCCATCCACTCGAGAATCATCGTTTCCGCACAGAGCAAAGGGGCCACGTCACACTTGAGTTGAAAGTGCATGTGAGGCGGCACTCCCAGCCGCGCTGCTGCCTCTGGCACGGGAACCTTCAACGAGAACTCATACATAGCTCGGGTCAAACGGTTGGGAGAGAGGGGGATGGACAGAGGCTGTGTTTCTCGCAGATGATATCGGAAGTCTTTGGGATTGGTCATGATGAGGGCGTGCTTTGTGCGCTGGCTCACAGCGCGGTCGAAGCAGCACTCGCACACAGCAAGGCCCCACGCGTCTCTCACGTCCAGGTAGTGAACCATGTCCGCCCGACACAGCAGCTGAAGCTTCTCTGGATACTCATCAGCTCTTGCCCTCTCTGGCCTCCGTCCTTTCCGCTTGTCCATCATCGGCTGATCTTGCGGTTCCAATATCAATGCTTGAGGGTTTTCAAGTGTCAGCTCATCCCATAGTGTTCCGACTAGCCGAGGAAGGCAAGTGCTGGCACTGGCAGCAGCTCTAGCAGAAAAACTCTGGACTTTCCTCCGCTTCTCCTCCTCCTCCTCCTCCTCGTAGCTGCTGGAAGGGAAATGGTCCCATTTGCTGTAGTCGATGCGGCTCGCTGAAGCAGCAGCAGGGGGCGTTACGGAAGCAGCAGCACGAGCTGTCACGGTGGCAGCAACAGAAGGACGCACAGCAGCAGCTGGTGAAGCAGCGTCGGCACTGGAAGGTGGACCAGGCGCATCAGCAGCAGCAGGAGCAGTAGCAGCGGCGGCAACATGAGGCGCGTCCATCGAAGGCGCCGCAGCTGGACCATTCAAACCTGCTGCAACGCCCGCTGATTCAACCTTACCCGGGCCTTCTCCATGATCCTCTGCTTCCACGGGGAGCACTAAGATGGTTGTACCCGTTTTAAGCTTGGCTCGCTGTACCGTTGCCTGAGGAGAAAGGTACGCTACCTGGCCAAACACCATGAAGCGGACGAGCTGCTGCTTCCGAGTAACCACGACATGTGTTCCCAGCTGCTGACGTGTCTCACATGGTAAGCAGCAGTTTGGCAGATGTGTCTGAAACAGTCTGTTGAAGACTGACCTAAGAAGCTCCGTAGGGAAAACGGTAATTGCGACGACAACGTGGGATGATGCGGATAAGTTATTTTCAGAGGAGCTGTCGTGGCCTTTTTCTATGACGTCGCTACCGCTGATGACGTCACTATGACTGCTGACGTCACTACGGATGGTGCAACCCTCTGTGCTACTGTCGTCATTTCTATTGTCACTTGATCCGCGTCGGATAAGATCAGCTGGGATACTGAACTTGACCTCAAACGCCATATGCCACAAAAGCAGTCAAAACTTAAATAAGTGCCTATCGATTAGGTTTCCTTATCTTGAGCGCCTAAAAAAGTCAGCTTGATTCTGAATCTATCTTCGAACGCAATGTGCGAAAGAGCAAGCAATACTCGAGGAAGTGCCTATCGATTGAAAATTCCTACTCGATTTCAGTGATACACATTTCTGGTTCCGTCACGAATGCATGACGACAATGCGGTAACTTGAGACTTCTTCGTCGATTTGTACACGCGCTATCGCGAGCCTACAGCTTTGTAAGCGGTTGTCGTAAGTAACGTCTTGGAACTGATGCAACCTAAACCGCTTAGCCAGCTCCACTGTCGCAGGTTAGGCTTCCCTGAATCACGGCTGCCAGAGCATAGAAGCTACGGCAAATGCAGTGAGAACAGCTACGAATTCAAAGGAGCCAGGCCATGACAGGAGGTCAAGCAACAAGAAAGGTCAAATGTGAAGGTTTGGTTGGCTTGGCAACGAGGAGCTCTGCTTGGGTGCTTCGGTTCGTCTCGGTTCGTTTGGTGTGGTATGGTTTGCTTTGGTCTGGCTTTAAGGGGGCGTTGGAAAGGTTTGGTTGGTTTTGGCACTAAATCCAGGTTTTGGGGAAGGGGCTAGGGAACAGATGGTGCACTCACACTAGGTACGAAGGGACAGAGAAATGGGTAGTGGTTGCGACAGAGGGACAAGCAGATTGGGTGCGAAAGCGAAGGCGGCTGATCTGTCTCCCGTCCTAGGTTTCGCACTTCCTCGCCCGTGCAGTTTTCCAATTGATTTGATGCATCGGGTAACCAGCCCTGACTCCTGTGGGATGGGAACTTTTCATCGCTTCACATCATTGAGTCTCAACAAACCAGCGTTATTCCAGGCAGTAGCCGGAAAACGATATCCTGCTTTCATTATTATGTGCCCATAGATCTAATCTAAGAATATTCAAAAGTCGTACCTAGCCGGCCATGAAGGGTAGGTTGTTAGTAAATTCTTGGAATGTCCAGGACGAACTAACAAATGCATTTCCCAGGTCCACGCCTATTGCACAAAGTTATCAGGGAGGGGAAATTTAATGAAGTGCTGAAGGTTCTGGACAAGGGAGTCGACAATGAAGCGAGGGAAGCTGTAAGAGAGCTTGCTTTCTCTCTTTGTTTTTGTTTTTGTTTTTTAGGTTTCAAAATGGAATGAGGTCAAACTCGTCCGGACTTCAGGAAGGCCAAACGCCTCAATGTGGTTGCAAGGGTTTGGTCAACGTATGGTTGGCGTTCTTCTAGTTAAAGCTGAAGCACGTGACACTTGGGTTCGTAGCACGTAGTATGCTTACTGTATTTCCACATGGACAACTCGTGCAAAATTCTCTTCGCGTGTATCAGGGCCAATTGACTTCTCTTCATCACGCCGTTGGGGAGGTGGAACTGGAGCGGTAAAGCGTTTGCTGGACCATTCTGTCGACAAAAATGCACAGGAAGGTTAGTTTTGTTGTGTTTGAGTGCGTTTTCTCCAGTGTTGTCAGTCACGTTCACTCCTACTACAGGAAGGTCAAACTCCTCTCCATCCGGGAGCAATGTTTGGACGTATCGTGGAAGTCATCATGCTGCTAGAATCTGGAGCGATTTACGATGCACGAGATCAGGTATTTCATGTCTGGTCTTTAGATATCCCTTACGCTACTTACTGAAACGACGAACTGCCATGCAGAAATTCTTTACTCCGCTGCACTGTGCAGCAGCATTCGGCACAATCGAGCTTGCACGAGTATTGCTGCAAAGAGGAGCTGACAAGACTGCCAACACCAAGGTAAGATCCTACGGGACATACAGATATAGCTCATTTCAACCGAATCTCTTGCGAGAAGACGCCGTTGCAAATAGCTGCCAATAAGTGACATGACGTCGTCCAAATGTTTCATCGTTATGGATCAAAGCGCTCAAGTCAGGTACCGTATGTTGCAGTTCTGAAGCATTGCTGCCTGTGAACATGACCCTTCACTACATTGCCTACTATTTCAGGTAAATGCTGCTGCTATTCAAGGAACTAGTAGCCAAGTGGAGATAATGAAGCGAGCTGAAGATTCTGACAGCAATTCATAGGTATGATGAGATTGCTGTTCGAGAAGCATCCGGCAGGATTGAAAAACTCGAATTATCTCTACAAGGAGCACAAAAGAAGGCTGTAGCTGAAGAAAATAAGAGACTTGAAGTTGAGGCTAGGCTTGTCATTGAAGCCACCAAGCGCAGGGAGGCAGAAAGAAATTGCACTCAACCCTTATGTCGAGATTGCCTGAAGAGCTAACTATCAAAGTCAGGGAAGCCAAGCGGAAGAAAGCGGAGGTAGAGATTGAGGCTGCAGCTATGAAGGAGTGTCTGGCAAAAGTTGAAGTTGGTGGACCTTCATCCGCTGCATCTCCAAATGATAGTCCCAGCAAAGGGCCCACAATGCTGGAGAAGCTAATGATGCTAACACGCTCACAGCTTCCTTTCTCTTGCACATGCTTCAGAGCTCGCCCAGCAGCTGCCTCGTTTGCAGGAACCTGTTCTTCCACCACCAGCCGTTGAAACTTTTGATGTACTGCCACAGCAAATTGTTCTCACACTGCTGCTGCAGCAGCTGCTGCGGTAATCACTGAGGATGGTGGCTTTATTGCGACAATGAAGCTTTTTCATCAGCATGACTTTTGCCGCCCACAGCTCCTGTGGCTGTAAGGGAATTCCGATTATCTGTCCGTGCGAGACAAACAAGGGGAGCGAGAGGAGAGTGGTCAGAGCAATCATTTACCATGAACTCTTGTGAAACTTATCATTGTCATTGTAACATGGCTGCACAGCCGAAGTGACCCCTGCCATTTCAAAAAATGTAGAAGGCTATGAAAGGCAGAATAACGTTGAAATCATGACATTTTGCCAATTATGGGTAAGCGAAAAGGAAGGACTTGACAAGCACTAGAGATGAAACTGAGCAAATATTAAGGGCATGTTCCAACCCTCTTATCAGGCAAACCTCGTGTCAGGTTTGCCTGGTGAAATTCGCGAAGGTTTTTGGGTTTTGGGAATTTCCAGTGTGTTATGACGCGAGCTTGATAAGAGGGCCGTAGGAACATGCCCTAATAGCAAAGCACACCCACAGGAATTTATGGCTGTCACAACAAAGTACACACATATGCTTTGTTCTGGTACCTAAACAGAGTCACTGGCAAAGCTGTACCTGAACAGAGTCACTGGCAAAGCTGTACCTGAACAGAGTCACTGGCAAAGCTGTACCTGAACAGAGTCACTGGCAAAGCTGTACCTGAACAGAGTCACTGGCAAAGCTGTACCTGAACAGAGTCACTGGCAAAGCTGTACCTGAACACTATGTTGGAAAAGTCGCGCCCAGCGTATTATACGCAAGCGTATATACGCTTGCGTATAATACGGGATGCGCTGAATGGGTGACTAAAAAATACGTGAAAAATACGCTGCCCGGGCAGGTAAAACTTTTTTCCCGGTCAGGCGGCACTAGGAACCTCATTAGTCGCACTCGCGGGAGTGCCAGTGCCAGTAGGGGGCGTCATCGTAGAGCTGCGATGTGATCGAGAGAACTGGAGAAAGAGAATTGGACGATGTGACTGATGAGAATGTTTAGGGTTTGGAGGCTTACCTTTTTGTCCTCGATGAGAGTTGAGGTGGGCTGGTTGGAGACATTTGTGTAGCTGGGTTGGAGTCGGACGGTGCAATGCGGTTGATTTGAATGTCCCCTTGCCAAATTTGTGTGTTGGTGGGGTCGACGAATTGTTCCGTGCGAACAACTTGACGTCGCATTTGCAAAATTCGTGCGCACAATGTGTGTCGCGACGCATTTTCCAATTTTCGTGCGCGAACTTTTTATTTTTCTTTTTTGGCCGGGCAGCCCGGGTTTTTCCGAACGAATGTACGTACGTATTGCGTACAGCGTATAGTCGTCAACGTATATACGATGTACGCATGCCCAGGCTGGCGACTTTTCCAACATAGCCTGAACAGAGTCACTGGCAAAGCTGTACCTGAACAGAGTCACTGGCAAAGCTGTACCTGAACAGAGTCACTGGCAAAGCTGTACCTGAACAGAGTCACTGGCAAAGCTGTACCTGAACAGAGTCACTGGCAAAGCTGTACCTGAACAGAGTCACTGGCAAAGCTGTACCTGAACAGAGTCACTGGCAAAGCTGTACCTGAACAGAGTCACTGGCAAAGCTGTACCTGAACAGAGTCACTGGCAAAGCTGTACCTGAACAGAGTCACTGGCAAAGCTGTACCTGAACAGAGTCACTGGCAAAGCTGTACCTGAACAGAGTCACTGGCAAAGCTGTACCTGAACAGAGTCACTGGCAAAGCTGTACCTGAACAGAGTCACTGGCAAAGCTGTACCTGAACAGAGTCACTGGCAAAGCTGTACCTGAACAGAGTCACTGGCAAAGCTGTACCTGAACAGAGTCACTGGCAAAGCTGTACCTGAACAGAGTCACTGGCAAAGCTGTACCTGAACAGAGTCACTGGCAAAGCTGTACCTGAACAGAGTCACTAGCAAAGCTGTACCTGAACAGAGTCACTGGCAAAGCTGTACCTGAACAGAGTCACTGGCAAAGCTGTACCTGAACAGAGTCACTGGCAAAGCTGTACCTGAACAGAGTCACTGGCAAAGCTGTACCTGAACAGAGTCACTGGCAAAGCTGTACCTGAACAGAGTCACTGACAAAGCTGTACCTGAACAGAGTCACTGGCAAAGCTGTACCTGAACAGAGTCACTGGCAAAGCTGTACCTGAACAGAGTCACTGGCAAAGCTGTACCTGAACAGAGTCACTGGCAAAGCTGTACCTGAACAGAGTCACTGGCAAAGCTGTACCTGAACAGAGTCACTGGCAAAGCTGTACCTGAACAGAGTCACTGGCAAAGCTGTACCTGAACAGAGTCACTGGCAAAGCTGTACCTGAACAGAGTCACTGGCAAAGCTGTACCTGAACAGAGTCACTGGCAAAGCTGTACCTGAACAGAGTCACTGGCAAAGCTGTACCTGAACAGAGTCACTGGCAAAGCTGTACCTGAACAGAGTCACTGGCAAAGCTGTACCTGAACAGAGTCACTGGCAAAGCTGTACCTGAACAGAGTCACTGGCAAAGCTGTACCTGAACAGAGTCACTGGCAAAGCTGTACCTGAACAGAGTCACTGGCAAAGCTGTACCTGAACAGAGTCACTGGCAAAGCTGTACCTGAACAGAGTCACTGACAAAGCTGTACCTGAACAGAGTCACTGGCAAAGCTGTACCTGAACAGAGTCACTGGCAAAGCTGTACCTGAACAGAGTCACTGGCAAAGCTGTACCTGAACAGAGTCACTGGCAAAGCTGTACCTGAACAGAGTCACTGGCAAAGCTGTACCTGAACAGAGTTGCTGGGGTTTGCTTGGTTGGGCTGATCGGAAACACTCGAGTTTGATGCCTGCGGCTGACTTGCACACCGGCCTGTGAATCCAGAATGCTCCAAGTTTATCCACCATCCTTGCTGGTGCGTAGCGACCTGATTGAGTGTACGAAGTGTGTGGGTGGAACAATATGTTTCACAAAATCATGTCTTGCACCGTGGTTCAGCACAGCAATGCATTTGTGTCACTCATGAGCTCATACAAAACTAACCAGCAGCAGGGGTCCCGCTCTGGGTAATCATTTGCTGATGTGATTGAATACATGGTGACTGAAACAGGAGCGGAGCCACTGAGCCGGTACTGTAACCATGCACCTGAAGGATTAAAAAAAAAAAAAAAAGTACCACAGAGTGATAAAAACGTCCACCAAGTATGTTTGGTCCGTTCACTTGAACAAGATGCATCTGATGAATTACGCAAGACGAGGCACGTGAAGGTCATAAGCAAAGATAACAGGCAGTGCGGGATGCTGAGGGGTGCTGAGGGGTGCTCGGGGATACTTGGGATGTTGGCATTGGTGGCGGAACAGTGAGTTCAGTTCAGATCTCAGAGGTAGGTGCTTGACATGCTTGACATGCTTGGCATGCTTGACATGCTTGACATGCTTGACATGCCTGAGATGGCATGGTGAAACATGACCTGATAGGACGTGACGTGGCATGGCATGGCATGGCAAAGCATGGTTTGGCAACTCATAACAGCATACCTTTCTCTCCCTCATGGTGCAGCCACTTGGTGTGCAGCGATGCATCGCATGCTGATATGGCCTGGGACGGAGGGTGGAGCAGATGGATGGAGGGATGTAAAGTGAGAGCATTCAATGAGTTGAGACACACCACAGCCACACACACCCGTCTCACCATCTCGCCAACTGAAAACTCAGAAGTGATCCAGGCACACCCATCTCACCATCATTTTTGAGAATTCTCAAAGTGATTCAAGCATACCCATCTCACCATCTCATTGGCTCCATCTGATGATACCCAGCCAATCACAGTATAGACTGAGGGCATTCACAGAGTTGAGCCACACACACCCCTCTCACCATCTCATTGGGTGCATTCTCCCCATCATCCAACACCCAGTCACCATACACCAGTCAGTCATGGCATAGACTGAGCTGAGAGCATTCATTCAGTGGAACCACGCCACACCCATCTGAACATCTCACCATCTCAGTTCACCATCTCAGTTCACCATCTCATTGGGTGCGTTTTCCCCATCAGCTGACACCCAGCCTCCACACACCCTCTCATGCTGCACCGATCCCTGCAGCCACACCGCATCTCCATCCCCACCACTCCCAGCCCACATCTGCTCCAATGCCTGCTTGACACGTGGCAGCACCTCTTGTGCTGCCTGCAACGCCATAGCTGCCAGCACAGCCCTTTTTTCCATTCCTCCACCTTCCCACCCCTGCTGCTACTTCCCCCTTCTGCCTCTCTCCTCTCGTTAGAAATCGTCCTCTCTTCTCCTTCAGCTTCCCACTCCTTCACCCCCACCATCCACCTGTCCCCTTACTCCCCTCTTCCTCTCCCTCCTTCCAGTTCTGAAACCTCATGGCACCTCTGATGATTCACTCCGCCTGTGCTGGAGGTGATTAGGAAGGGAGAGGGTTTGCGTGGTTGGGGAGGCGGGAAAAGGCAAAGGGAACAGGCGAAGAACAGTAAGCGAGAAAGCATCTGCAATTACCATTACCTTTGACTGTCATTGATACTGGCACCTCAGATGCATTTTCATCGCTGCCAGTAGCGACTACCACCGAGAAAAATCTATGCCCCGAGTGAGGATCGAACTCACGACCTTAGGATGGCTCCGCCCAGCAGAGTGGGAGTCGGAAAGCTATGAGACCTACGCGCTACCGACTGCGCCATCGAGGCTTGGGCGTTTAGACAAGCTTAAAATTTTGGGTGGATATTTGTGGGACCAATGAAACAATTGAAGTGGTTGAGGTAAGACTGGTGTGCAGAAAGGAATATGAAGAACTCGTGTGTATATTCAGACTCATGGTGAACAACTTTCCAGGCGCCTCAGACACCAGGCGGTGTTCACAAGGTACTGAAGAGGACATGACTTTTGAGATGCCTCAAAAGTCGTCTACTGAAGAGGGCATGAATACGTTCAGACGGACGGACAGTGAACGCACGAACATTCATGCACTGGGAAAAGCAGTGACATCATGACATGGCTTTTGTGGCGCCTCAAAAGTCGACAGAGAACGCACGAACATTCATGCACTGGAAAAAGCGGTGACAGCATGTCATGGCGCGGCACACATGCGCCATCAGGGTGTGATGAGTCACTTTCTAGTTGACTAAAAAACAGACGGACAGTGAATGCATGAACATCCATGCACTGGAAAAAGCCGTAACACCATGACATGGCAGACATGCCCCATCTGGAGAACGCAAGAGTGCTGATACATACATTATACATACACACGCACATACATACCTGCAGTCTCCTTGCGAACTCCAATCGTCCTCTCTTCTCTCCCCTTACCACCCTTCTCTCCACCCTCCCCCGTCGCCCCCTTCTCTCCCTCTGCCCCCTCCGCCCCCTTCTCCCCCGTCTCCCCCTCTGCCCCCCCTCCCCCCTATCGTGCAGCACCAGCACCGCACCACTAGCTGGCAGGAGGGAAGCCAAATCAAGGAGAGGTGAAGGGACGGGCCGGAGGAGAGGGCGAGCTGCAAGGACGCCGGGGGGAGAATGGATAGAGGTATCATGGGGTTTGTTTCGCTGTCTTACACGCACACACCTACTAAAGTTGATGGAAGTAAGGATTTTGCAACCCACCTGCCCGTTATTGCCGACAGGGACGCGTGATTGGGTCACTGGTGTCATGTCACAGCAACAGCTGATCTGGTCTCAATCAAGACCACCAATAGATCGATCCTGACATACCATTTGATTCTCCGGCTCGACTCCTGTGAGTGAGAAGATCTGAATCTGCAACACCTGCGCGTGGATGGACGGGCAGGGATCAATGGGGAGGAAAGGGGGAGTCGAGGAGAGGGGGGAGGGAGGAAGGGAGAGGGGATGCAATTTGGCATGATTCGCAACAAGCAAGGGTAGATGGGCACAGGGTAGGTCGGAGTGGGAATGAAAACAGAGGGACTGAGGATAAACTACTTGGGCAGGATGCATGAGGATAGTTGTAAACAGGTGGAGAATAGACCCATATCCGCCTCTCCCATATCACACGAGTTGCAACTCCCGCATACCCGTCGCCGAAGCCCTATCGCTATCTCTCGCATCCTATTTCTCAGGAAAAGGAACAGCTCCAGCGCTCTCTCGCCTCTGACCCTGTACGGACCCACCAATCCCCCCCCCGGTGTATCTAAGGCGCTTGATCTCAACCCCTTCATGCGCATCCATCCCCATCCCCGCATCCCTGCTCCCCCATTTCTACTTCTCCCGCATCCCTCCTCCCCCCATCCATGCTTCCCCCGTCCCTCCCTCCCCGTCCCTCCCTCCCTCCCCGTCCCTCCGTCCCCCCATCGCCTCACCTCCACGCCCATGTCAACCTCCACTTCCACTTTGAACCGCTCCTCACCGAACACCACCGTAACCTCGCGCGCCGCCATCGCTAACACAAACACCCGCGTGGCGCACCCGCAACTTCGGAGAGGCAAAGGATCTCGACACGTGGCGCGCGAGCGACTGCTGTCTGAGTGCGGCGTGCAATACAACGGAAGGGCAGCCACGTGTTTCAAGCTGATTCGACCTGGATCTAGCTTCGTGCAATCTGAAAGTCGCACTCCTATCAGCTTGTACTCTTGAAAAACTTACTACCCGAGCCGCTTTGAAGTGGTGAGTGGGAAGAGGAGCACGAGGCAGGTCTCGCGAGAGACCAATTGCCTCGAGATGATATCGCATGCGGTACCTTGCCTTGCGATGCTGCTAGTCAGGGTGGTCTATAATGAAGTCTCAATTTGATGGTGTGTCCCGCCGTCACAACATTTCCCTGAGTGTTTTTCCGCCTAATTTGCTTCAACTATAAGCTCTCACACTGACCTTTCATGGCGGTCTATCTCACGCTTCACTCCTGACAAAGAATGACTAAAGCGGTAGTGCAAACCCGAGGCGGCTTGGTTCTGCTGAAGTGAAGGCGTATTCCTGATTGGACCTTTCTACCGTCTTTCGACACAAACCAAACCAGCCAGACCCAAGGGTCATCATCGCCCAGACAGGTCAGGGAGAGCAATTTGATTGGTCCGACTGGGTCTGGTCGGACCAAGGGCCTGTCGTACCCCGATGAGTGAGTCTCTGCAGGTTGTTGCGACGAAAACGTTTCGCTCTTGTAAGTTACTCGTTCTCAAATCGTTTCGTCGAGCTTCGACCGACTTCGTGAGCTCGTTTGCATATGCTGGAGTTCGTCCACCTATCAGAATTCACCTAGCCACTAAAGCTTGTCGAGCCACTATTTCCGAAACCTAAAATTTCGCGCCAAAACAAGCACAAACCTGCCAGGACCTTTCCGAAGCTAACCCGAAGCAAACCACACCACACGAAACTAGCCGAGCCGAACTCAAGTGACCAATCACAGCCCCTCGTTGCCGAGCAAACTACACATTTGAACCTTCTTGTTGGTTCACATCTTCAGCCCTGCCTGACTTTCTGAATTCTGATACAAGAGAACTACCACACTCGTTCTTTTCACTGCATAGCTATACTCAGGCACTCCGTCCCAGCCATGATTCAGTGAGGCTTCTTCGTGTCAATGAAGCTGGCTTAGCGGTGCTGTCTAAGCTCATAGCCTACACAGGATTTAACGTGTTTCCTTTGGGCGTTCTTTTAGTGCGACTGAATTTGCGACAGCTACTAAACCAGATCATACGTTTTTTAACACCTCAGAATACGACGATACCCGTTTTTTAAACCAGAGTGTAAGAGTATTTACAATGCGTCGCCGGCCTTCTGCGTTTCCAAAGTTCGTCTCTGAAGCGGCGAGGGAGGCGGCCTTGAGGGAAGCCTGGTGGAATAAACCGCTCTCAGAGGACGTCCAGAAGTGGCTGAGAACATGGGACTACCAAGAGGAGGAACCACTTGGTGAAGGGACGAAAGGGGAGGAACTACCTGGTGAAGGCCACGCAACGCAGAAGAACGGAGGGGGATCCGGCGAAAAACGGGGAACAGAGGAAGCATCGGCGGGGAAGTTTCAGCTGCTGTGTCGAGCAGACATGGTTCACTATCTCGACGTGCGAGACGGCTGGGAGCTAGAGCAATGCGAGTGCTGCTTCGACCGCGCCGTGAGCTACCGAGCACAGCGCGCGCTCAACATGATGTCCCTCGAAGATTTCCGATTCCACCTGCACACACATTTGCCTTCCGCCGTCCCTGTTGCGGCGCCAAACAGGCAATCCAGGGCCATTCGCGAGTTCGCCTCACGGGTACCTGTGGAGGCGTTGGGTGGGAGAGGGGGTGCGCCGGATTATATTCAGTTCCATTGGAAATGCGAACGGGCGCCGTTTGTTTGTGCGGAAGCCATGCTGCTTGAGTGGATGGCTGAGCCTCGTGTGGGCGTGCTCATGGACCTGGGGAGGATCAGATCCCGCCTGCCTACCATTCTAGCTGTCGGGACTGCTTCTCACGAGGCCTCAACTTCTTCTGCTCATTCTGCTCCTACTGATTCTGCTGCTCCTGTTGTTGCGTGGTCCTGCTGCTGGCGCTGCAGCAGCTGCTGGGCTGCCTACCGCCGTGCTGTCAGCTTCGCTGCCTTCCTCGCGCTTGTAGCGAGGTGGCCCCGTTTCGTGACTCTATGGAGGGCCCACATGGACTCCCACGACGCGTTTTTTCCAGCCCTTGTGGCCGAGCTAGGGGCGGGCAAGCAGCAGGAGGACGATTCATTCGCCTCCCTGCTGGTGCAGGTGCTGGGGGTGAAGGAGAGCGCTGATCTGCAGGAAGGGTTTGGGTTCTTTGTGCAGCATTTGCTGTCAGGCGGGCTGGAGCAGGCGCATGCAGAGGAGAAAGGAAGGGGGCGGGCAGGAGGGCAGGATTCAAGAGGCAGGGGCATGGGGCAAAATGGGCCTGGTGCGGATATAGGGAGGATGGAGGGGGGTAGGGTTGCTAGAGAGGTCGTGATGTTTCCGCAGCTGGGAAGCCCTGAAGAGTCGTGGGAGACGGGGATCCGACTGATGGCTGAAGCCATGACGAGAGCGGTGGAGGGCAGAAGCGGCATGGGGGAGGAGTGTGTGACTGGAATGGGCATGGGGCGAGACGGGGGCAGTGTGAGGGGCATAGGGGGAGAAACAGGTAGCGGAAGGCGCATGGGGGGAGACAGGGGCAGCGGAAGGGGCATGGGGCAAGGTATGGGCAGCGGAAGGGGCATGGGGCAAGATGGGGGCAGCGGAAGGGGCATGGAGGAGGAATTATACGGGATGATGGGCAGTGCGTGGGGAGGGGTGAGACGCGAAGAGGTGAGCGGCATGTTGAATCTGGATAGAGGCGCCGCCATGGATAGCTTTCTGAGTGCCGTGGGCGGTGGGAGTGGGGGCGGGGGCAGGAGGGGTGTGGGGAGTCAGGGAGATGGGCTGATGGGGTGGATGGGTGGGGGGGATGAATCTGAGAATGGGGAGGCATCGGAATGGGGAGTGGGGACGGCTGAGGCTGGGAATGGAGGGGAATGGGGAGGCAGCGGTGGTGGGGGGATGGCTGGTGAAGGGGCGGAGGGGAGAGATGGTGAGGGTGGCAGGGATGGGAAGGGTGAGAAGTGTAGGGAGCATCTGAAGGGGCGTGTGTGGGAGAGGTATGTGGATGGCATGGCTTGGATTGTGGAGAAGGGAGGCGGGAACGGGAGTGAGTTTAGGTGCAGCCACTGCAGTGAGAGAAGCAGCAGCAGCAGAAGCGATTGCAGTGGTAGCAGCAGCAGAAGCAGCAGTGATGCAGGTGGCAGCAACACCGAAGGGGTGGATACTCCCAAGGGCATGTATGTGAGTGGCGTGGGTGCCACTGACTTCGCCCTGGCAGTCGCCTCTGTGTTCTCCAAGCCAGAGTGCAGCAAGGAGGGGCAGGTCTTTTTTGTGGATGGGAACAACGCAAACAAGACTCGGATAGAGGATGCAGCTATTGAGAGGGTCAGAAAAACGCTGAGACGGAAGATGGGGGACAGAGGAGGCAGAGAAAGGGTGGCAAAGGTGAGGGGCGAGGGGCGAGGGGCGAGGGGGGGGAGGAGGAGTGGGAGTTAAAGAAGGAGGAGGAGGAGTGGCAGCTGCCTTGGCTGCTACAGCTGATACGAGCGCTACAGCTGCTACAGATGCTGCAGCTGGAGCAGCACCGGATGTAGCAATCAAAGCCGCTGCAGCAGCTACACCTGTCAATACCAACCCTGTGGTTGCTGCTTTCACATATCGAGCCGCTTGCATCTTGCAGTGGGTTAGAATCTACGGCTCAGATTTCATCCCGGGTAAACAGTGCTTCAAGAAGAACACACAGGGGAAGGTTCGGGCCATGCGCCACCCACTTCGAGACCTTCCAAGCCTGCTGGTCAGGCTCGGCGCCATCCCCAAGCCTCTGGACCAAAGCAGCATTCCCTTGGAGTGGGAGGAGTGGTCTCGGGGCGATGAAGCTGCTGGGAAGCTTCCCAATGACCCCAGTGCGAGATGCTTTCGACTGGGGATAGTGAAGGAGAGCGGGTCGAGAGAGGAGGGTGGGGGAAAGGCATCTAAGGAGGCAGGGACTCCGGGAGGGAGGCCAGGAGGGACAGCAAGGGCCATGCGGGGGCGAGGAGGCAAGGGGGGTAACAGGAGGGGCGGAGGGAGGGGTGGCAGGGGGGTTGACCGAGGGCTTGACTGGGGTAGTGGAAGTGGGTGGGGGAGGGACACAGCACACGGAGACGATTCACCGAGCTTTGCAGAAGCTCTGGCAGCGTCCGTGGCTCCTCAAAACCAAAAGATCCCCATCGTGCGCTGCACTGCAGACGCTGAGTTCCTAGTGGAGTTTGCCGGGTATATGGTGCTCCCTCCATCCTGCTCCCACTGCTCCAATTGCTTCAGCACCTTCACCTACTACCTCCTGGCCCTCACTCCCATTGCTAACTTTGCCTATCAACCAGCCAGCGCCCTTTTCAACCGCTTTGTATCGGTCTTTCCTCCGCACTCCCCTGAGTTCAACGACCTCCTGGCTAGTCTGCGAATGAAGCCTCTTCCCACGGACGTGCCTGCGCTGCTGAACCTGCATGTTGTGAGGGAGCGAGCCGAGCAGCTGCCGGTGTTCTTCCTGCTGCTTGTGGCGCTCAGATGGCCGAAAGCGATGCTGCAGATAGAGGAGTTGAAGGGGTTGGGGAGGGATGAGGAGAGCGGAGAGGAGAGTGGAGAGGGGTGCGGAGGAGGGAGGAAGGCCACAGGGAAGAGAGGAGAGAAGAGCGGGAGGAGGGGAGGTTGGAGAGATGGTGGCGGGGAGTTGGTGGGTGAGTTTGGGGAGGTGTGGGAATAGGTGCGGTCGTGGTGCCTGGCAGCAATGGTGGCTTGGCCGGCAAGCCTGAGGCTGGTAGGGGCGGGGCTGGGAAAGCCTTGTGAGGGGAGCAAGCACCTGGGTGAGGGGGAGACGAGATGGGGTCCCAAGATGTGGGAGAGGGCTGTAGAGATGCGGTATCACGAGGATCAGGAGAAGTGGGGAGGGGCTGGCGGTGGTAGTAGCTGGAGCAGCAGCAGGAACAGCAGTAGCAGTGGGGGTAGTTGGTGGGGTTGGAGTGGAAGTAAGGGGAAGGACAAGAAAGAGGAGGAGCCGGCTTACCTCAAGCCATGTCCGGGAGGAGTCAATCTGGTGGCATGTCTGCGAGAGATGCTGCTGGGGGAGCCCTGCTACCGCCCTGCCTCCCCTGCTGCTACTTCCCCTGCTGCTGGGAGCACAGGAACACTGCTGAACGTTGCTGGTAAATCAGCTCCTGAAGGCTCGGTTCGGCAAAGGAAAACCAGCACAAAAGACTGTGGTTCTGCTCGTTTGGGAGGGGCTGTGTGCGGTGCTCTGGGATGCGAGTCGGTGGAGGGTGGTGGTGTGAAGCTGAGGAGCTGCGGTGGGTGTGGCAAGGTGGCTTATTGCAGCAGAGAGTGCCAAAAGGCGCACTGGCCATTCCATAAGCTCACATGCAAATCCAAGGCCAGCAGCATGGTGAGTGGCCAAGTCTTTGTTGTGCAAGGTCAAAAGCCTTAACTGTGAGGGTGGGTTTTCGCCAGATTGTATACTCAATTGCTTGGAGTGCTCTCTTATCATGTTTGCCTTTCAAGTCGTCTCATCTTATCTCACGCATCAGCCAACCCATGTCTTGACTGCCTTTCTGTTTTCTCCTGCCAGTGGCAGCTGCCGAGAGCTTGGCGCATCGCCGTTGGGCTCGTGTGTCTGCTCGTGGTGATTTGCATGCTGTGGCACCTGCTGGGGTCGCCTTGCCTTACTGAGGTCGCATAACTTCAGTTGCTGCTGGGGCTGGTCGTAATTCATATCATCTTTAGAATCAGGTGGCTGGTTGTGGTTACAGGATGTGTGTGTGTGTGTTTCAGTACTCTCTTTCTTCACAGCTCCTCAAACCCTTCTCACAAGGAGTCACCAAGGTTGCAACCTTCACGTGCTGAGGCTGGGTTGGTAATTTCACAATCAGGAAGTGGTACGTCATAAAGGCACTCTTATTGTCATACAAATCAAGTAGTGTACTATGGTATAATCAGAACTGACAATGCAGTAAAACTCATCCCAGCGCTCTGCACTGGTCCAATGGCAGTGCACTGGTGTAATGGAAGTCGAAATGCTGAACACAAACCCAACCCCTCCTACGGTATTGTGAGCTTTTCATTGGCAGGTCTGAACAATGAGGTACCGTCGCACCAATGAAAAGTTATTCATACGGTAAGAAGGTACGCACTCAGCAGTGAACTTGGGCATGTGCAAGGCAGGGGGAGGGGATGGGTGCAAGGTCGAGCATGAGAAACGGCCGGGAAAAAGAGAGCACGGAACGAGGAATTCCAGTCATTTAACACATGAAACAAAGCTCAGACAGAAGGAAGGGTATGGCCATCGCAAGAGCTGCTGTTGCACAAAGTGCATGACTGGCAGCAACCACAGCAGCACGCAGCAACAAGCATGCCAACCCAGCAATCTGCAAAGTAACTCCATACACACCCTCCTTGTGCATGCTCAGGAGTGTTGCACAAGGAGGACGAGTGGCAGCAAGCACAGCTGCCAGCACAGCAGCAAGCACAGCAGCAAGCACAGCTGCCAGCACAACAGCACACACATCATCAAGCACAGCTGCAAGCACAGCATCACACGCAGCAGCAAGCACGGCTGCCAGCACAGCAGCACAGACAGCAACAAGCACACATACAGCACAGCAGCACACACGGCAGCAAGCACAACTGTCAGCACACACCCCTGGCGTCAGTCCACCTCAGTCCACGTCATCGCCGCCCCCATCCACATCAGCGACACCTCAGTCCACGTCATCGCCGCCCCCGTCCACGTCAACGACACATCATTTCACGTCATCGCCGCCCCCATCCACGTCAGCGACACCTCAGTCCACGTCATCGCCGCCCCCGTCCACGTCAGCGGCACCTCATTCCACATCATCGTCGCCCCCGTCCATGTCGGCGACACCTCATTCCACATCATCTTCGTCCCCGTCCACGTCAGCGACACATCAGTCCACACCATCGTCGACTTCGTCCACGTCAGCGACACCTCAATCCACGTCATCGTCGACTCCGTCCACGTCAGCGACACATCAGTCCACATCGTCGCCGCCCCCGTCCACGTCAGCGACACCTCATTCCACGTCGTCGCCGCGCCCGTCCACGTCAGCGACACCTCATTCCACGTCATCGTCGCCCCCGTCCACGTCAGCGGCACCTCAGTCCGCGTCTCCCGTCCACGTGAGCGACACCTCATTCCATGTCATCGCCGATTCCGTCCACGTCAGCGACACCTCATTCCACGTCATCGTCGACCCCGTTTACGTCAGCGGCGCCTCAATCCACGTCATTGCCGCCCCCGTCCATGTCAGCAACACCTCAGGCCGCGCCATCGTCGCCCCCGTCCACGTCAGCGACACCTCATTCCACGTCATCGCCGACTCCGTCCACGTGAGCGACACATCAGTCCACATCGTCGCCGCCCCCGTCCACGTCAGCGACACCTCATTCCACGTTATTGCCGCCCCCGTCCACGTCAGCGACACCTCTGTCCACGTTATCGTCGCCCCCGTCAACGTCTGTGACACCTCATTCCACGTCATCGTCGATCCCGTCCTCGTCAGCGATACATCAGTCCACGTCATCGCCGCCCCCGTCCACGTCAGCGGCACCTCAGTCCACATCATTGCCGCCCCCATCCACATCAGCGACACATCAGTCCACGTTATCGCCACCCCCGTCCACGTCAGCGACACCTCATTCCACGTCATCGCCGCCCCCGTCCACGTCAGCGACACCTCATTCCACGTCATCGTCGACTCCGTCGACGTCAGCGACACATCACTCCTCATCGCGACCCTCGTCCACGTCGGCGACACCTCAACCCACGTCATCGCCGCCCCCGTCCACGTCAGCGGCACGTCAGTCCGCATCATCGCCGCCCCCGTCCTTCTCAGCGACACCCAGGTTTTTAGTTTAGCTTGATTGATTCCATTCTTAATATTTCCATTTTGTTATCATACCAGTAGAAATGTATAAACTTGTCAACAAGGAGTGCCTGCAAATGCAAGCGCGTTGCAAATTAGTTGCTTTCTTTACAATCATTTTACAATCATCCCGGTGAGTTTCATTTCAGCCCGCGAGCTCATGCCATGGCATCCCAGTGAATTTCTTTTCTGCCCGCGAGTTCATGCCATGGCATCCCGGTGAGTTTCATTTCAGCCCGCGAGTTCATGCCATGGCATCCCGGTGAGTTTCATTTCAGCCCCCGACTGCAAGTGTGTAAACCAGAAACGTGAAGTTTCTGGCTCCTCCCCCTTCCCTTTCTCCCCTGCCTTCTTCCCCCCCACCCCCTTCTCTCCCCTCCTCCCCTTTCCCTCCCGTTCCAGCCTTGGAGCAGCAGCAGAGGGGTGGGTGAGCAGCAGGCGGGCGCGAGTAGCAGGCGGAAGGGGGGACTCGGGCGCACAACGAGTGAGGCACAGTGAGTGAGTGAGGTATGCAAAACAAAAGGAAACATGAAAGATGGGAAGCAAAACAGAAATTAAAAGACGCAATCCTTCCTGCGCCATTCTTTCTTGCCCAATAACCAGTCTGGCTGGGTCTGGCCAGGTTCGGCCAGGCCTGGCCTGTTAGGCCCGGCCCCGTTTGGCCAGGCCTGGCCATCCCTATAGACCCCCGAGGGGGTTTTGTGGCGGTTGCAGAGGGGTGTGAAACATGCACGTGCGTGGTGTGGAACATGCATGCTCTGAAACATGCATGCACGTGCATGCTCCGAAACATGCATGCACGTGCATGCTCCGAAACATGCATGCACGTGCATGCTCCGAAACATGCATGCTCTGAAACATGCATGCACGTGCATGCTCCGAAACATGCATGCTCTGAAACATGCATGCACGTGCATGCTCCGAAACATGCATGCTCTGAAACGGGCATGCACGTGCATGCTCCGAAACATGCATGCTCTGGAACGGGCATGCACGTGCATGCTCCGAAACATGCATGCTCTGAAACATGCATGCACGTGCATGCTCCGAAACATGCATGCTCTGAAACATTATCCAAGCAAGAATGAGTGAAAGATAATGTCACACCTGCCATCCCTATGCCCCTCACACACACCTGCCGTTTCCATACCACCTTCCCCCACTTCCTTCTCCCCCCCTCTTTTCCTTGCTTTATGCGTGCACTGCTTTTTTTATGCATGCACTTCTTGCTTTATTCATGCACTGCTTGCTATATGCATGCACTGATTTCTTTATGCATGCACTTCTTGCTTTATGCATGCACTTCTTGCTTTATTCACGCACTGCTTATGCATGCACTGATTTCTTTATGCATGCACTTCTTGCTTTATGCATGCACGCACTTCTTGCTTTATTCATGCACTGCTTGCTATATGCATGCACTTCTTGCTTTATGCGTGCACTGACTGCTTTATGCATGCACTGCTGCCCCATGCATGCACTGCTGCCCCATGGAAGGAGAGGGGTGCACGGCTGCTGTGCTTGCTTATGTCAACCCATGCTCCACTTATCACCCCCTCCTGCCCCACTCATCACCCCCTCATGCCCCACTTATCACCTCCTCATGCTCCACTTGTCATCCCCCCTGCCCCACTTATCATCCCTCATGCACCACGTATCAACCCGTCCTGCCCCACTCATGCACCACGTATCAACCCCTCCTGCCCCACTCATCAAATCAACCCCTCCTGCCCCACTCATCAAATCAACCCCTCATGCCCCACGTATCAACCCCTCATGCCCCACGTATCAACCCCTCATGCCCCACGTATCAACCCCTCATGCCCCACGTATCAACCCCTCATGCCCCACGTATCAACCCCTCATGCCCCACGTATCAACCCCTCATGCCCCACTTATCGTCCTCTTCATCTCTATGTCCCCTCTCCCCCCCCCATCCCCGCCATTTCGGCCCAAGCCCACCCCTTTCCCCCCCAATGCTCCTGAATCGCGTTTTCCTCGCTGGGAAATGCGGGTTCAGGGGCATTGGGGGGGAAAGGGGGGGACTTAGGGGGGACTGGGGCTGGTCGTAATTCATATCATCTTTAGAATCAGGTGGCTGGTTGTGGTTACAGGATGTGTGTGTGTGTGTTTCAGTACTCTCTTTCTTCACAGCTCCTCAAACCCTTCTCACAAGTCACCAAGGTTGCAACCTTCACGTGCTGAGGCTGGGTTGGTAATTTCACAATCAGGAAGTGGTACGTCATAAAGGCACTCTTATTGTCATACAAATCAAGTAGTGTACTATGGTATAATCAGAACTGACAATGCAGTAAAACTCATCCCAGCGCTCTGCACTGGTCCAATGGCAGTGCACTGGTGTAATGGAAGTCGAAATGCTGAACACAAACCCAACCCCTCCTACGGTATTGTGAGCTTTTCATTGGCAGGTCTGAACAATGAGGTACCGTCGCACCAATGAAAAGTTATTCATACGGTAAGAAGGTACGCACTCAGCAGTGAACTTGGGCATGTGCAAGGCAGGGGGAGGGGATGGGTGCAAGGTCGAGCATGAGAAACGGCCGGGAAAAAGAGAGCACGGAACGAGGAATTCCAGTCATTTTAACACATGAAACAAAGCTCAGACAGAAGGAAGGGTATGGCCATCGCAAGAGCTGCCCTAGATTCTTTTAGGTCAAGGTCTCACTTAATTTGTAATGTCCCTCGTACTATGTAGTGTTTTGCAATTTTGTTTTGGTAGGGTTGGGAGATTCAGTTCTGGTATTATTACCCGCGTGGTGTTCTTCGTTCTGCCCGAGGTGGCCAAATGCCATTTCCTTTCGAATTGACTTTCGATTCAGCACCCCCCAGCCGCCCATGTTCAACTACTCACCCACCCAGCCCAGACCAGAGCAGCATCACTCTCGTTTTCCATTCCGCTCATCACAAACTCGTAGCCTACCTGCTTCTACGCCAGATCTAGCCACCTTCCGCCACACCTCTTAAATGTCAGTGGCTCGCGAGCAGCAGCGAGGCGTTCGATCGTGAGCAGCAGCGCTGCGCTGGATAGCGACACGATTAGCAGCGCGCTGGATCGCTGATAGCAGCGCGGCGCTGGATCGCTAGCAGCAGCGCGGCGTTGTAGGAAAGCTTTCGTTAAGAACTGCATTTCGAGCTAGCCAGCCAGCACCGCGCTAGATAGCGCCGCGATTAGCAACGCGCTGGATCGTTGGTAGCAGCGCGGCGCTGGATCAAAGCTTTCGTTAAGAAATGCCTTTCGAGCTAGCCAGCCAGCACCGCGCTAGATAGCGCCGCGATTAGCAGCGCGCTGGATCTCTAGTAGCACCGCGGCGCTGGATCGTGAACAGCAGCGCTGCGTTTGATCGCGAGCAGCAGCGCTGCGTTTGATTGCAAGCAGCAGCGCTGCGTTTGATTGCGAGCAGCAGCGCTGCGTTTGATTAGCAGCGCTGCGTTTGATTAGCAGCGCTGCGTTTGATTAGCAGCGCTGCGTTTGATTGCAAGCAGCAGCGCTGCGTTCGATCGCTAGGAGCAGTCCTGCGTTCTATCGCGAGCAGCAGCGCGGCGCTGGATGGAGGCTTTCGTTTGGAGGTGGCTTTGGAGGTAGCCAGGCAGCACCCGCGACTTGAGCTTCCAGCCGCCCAATGGCCCATGCTCGCTCAACAACTCACCCACACCACACCAGCATCGCTCTCCTCCTTTCCTTTGCTTCCGCTCATATACTCGTGCATGGCCCATGCTCGCTCAACAACTCGTCACCCACTCGTCTTCTCCTCCTGTTCGATCACTCGTTTCTTTTTGCTCTGCAATTAGAATGCCTATGGTAGAACGCCGCTCCCCGCGAGGCACTCATTCATTCCGCCATCTCAATCTCGTAGCTCCGCAGGTCATCCGGGGCTGACGGCTGGCGAAGCGCGCGCGGCTTCCGCGACCAGCTGCGCGTGACGCTCCCGCGATCGGCAGGGCGGAAGGGCATCCGCAAGCAGCCGCGCGCGGGGCTTCCGCGAGGAGCTGCGCGCGCAGGCCCGCTAGCAGCAGCGCTCGCACTGAGGCGCTCGCGATGAGCAGGGCGCGCGAGGCTTCCGCGATGAGCTGAGCAGCGCGCGGGGCTTCCGCGAGCGGCGCAAGGGGCTTCCGCGAGGAGCAGCACGAGGCCTCCGCGGCTTATCTCAGGTAGGTAGGCTCAACTGCTGCTGTAGGCTCAGATATTCAATTGAGACATTAGTAATGAACGGCAATTAAGGGAACTGTGATGATCACGAGAGAAAAAGATTAACACATCCTCTTCACAGCCCCTCCTTGTTCCCCTGGCTCCTTGCCTCCTCCCCACCTTGCCTGCCCTACCTACTACTACCGTACCTGCCGTGTTCCCCAGCCTTCTCCCCCCGCCCCACCTCCCCAGCTCATGCCATGCCATCCCAGTGAGTTTCATTTCAGCCCCCGAGCTCATGCCATGGCATCCCGGTGAGCTTCATTTCAGCCCCCGAGCTCATGCCATGCCATGCCATCCCGGTGAGGTTCATTTCAGCCCCCGAGCTCATGCCATGCCATCCCGGTGAGTTTCATTTCAGCCCCCGAGCTCATGCCATGGCATCCCGGTGAGCTTCATTTCAGCCCCCGAGCTCATGCCATGCCATCCCGGTGAGGTTCAGTTCAGCCCCCGAGCTCATGCCATGCCATCCCGGTGAGTTTCATTTCAGCCCCCGAGCTCATGCCATGGCTTCCCGGTGAGTTTCATTTCAGCCCCCGAGCTCATGCCATGCCATCCCGGTGAGTTTCATTTCAGCCCCCGAGCTCATGCCATGGCATCCCGGTGAGATTCATTTCAGCCCGCGAGCTCATGCCATGCCATCCCAGTGAGTTTCATTTCAGCCCCCGAGCTCATGCCATGCCATCCCGGTGAGTTTCATTTCAGCCCGCGAGCTCATGCCATGCCATCCCGGTGAGTCTCATTTCAGCCCCCGAGCTCATGCCATGGCATCCCGGTGAGATTCATTTCAGCCCGCGAGCTCATGCCATGGCTTCCCGGTGAGTTTCATTTCAGCCCGCGAGCTCATGCCATGCCATCCCGGTGAGTCTCATTTCAGCCCGCGAGCTCATGCCATGGCATCCCGGTGAGATTCATTTCAGCCCGCGAGCTCATGCCATGGCTTCCCGGTGAGTTTCATTTCAGCCCGCGAGCTCATGCCATGCCATCCCGGTGAGTCTCATTTCAGCCCGCGAGCTCATGCCATGGCATCCCGGTGAGATTCATTTCAGCCCGCGAGCTCATGCCATGGCTTCCCGGTGAGTTTCATTTCAGCCCGCGAGCTCATGCCATGCCATCCCGGTGAGTTTCATTTCAGCCCCCGAGCTCATGCCATGGCATCCCGGTGAGCTTCATTTCAGCCCCCGAGCTCATGCCATGCCATCCCGGTGAGGTTCATTTCAGCCCCCGAGCTCATGCCATGCCATCCCGGTGAGTTTCATTTCAGCCCCCGAGCTCATGCCATGGCTTCCCGGTGAGTTTCATTTCAGCCCCCGAGCTCATGCCATGCCATCCCGGTGAGTTTCATTTCAGCCCCCGAGCTCATGCCATGGCATCCCGGTGAGATTCATTTCAGCCCGCGAGCTCATGCCATGCCATCCCAGTGAGTTTCATTTCAGCCCCCGAGCTCATGCCATGGCATCCCGGTGAGTTTCATTTCAGCCCGCGAGCTCATGCCATGCCATCCCGGTGAGTCTCATTTCAGCCCCCGAGCTCATGCCATGGCATCCCGGTGAGATTCATTTCAGCCCGCGAGCTCATGCCATGGCTTCCCGGTGAGTTTCATTTCAGCCCGCGAGCTCATGCCATGCCATCCCGGTGAGTTTCATTTCAGCCCCCGAGCTCATGCCATGGCATCCCGGTGAGCTTCATTTCAGCCCCCGAGCTCATGCCATGCCATCCCGGTGAGGTTCATTTCAGCCCCCGAGCTCATGCCATGCCATCCCGGTGAGTTTCATTTCAGCCCCCGAGCTCATGCCATGGCTTCCCGGTGAGTTTCATTTCAGCCCCCGAGCTCATGCCATGCCATCCCGGTGAGTTTCATTTCAGCCCCCGAGCTCATGCCATGGCATCCCGGTGAGATTCATTTCAGCCCGCGAGCTCATGCCATGCCATCCCAGTGAGTTTCATTTCAGCCCCCGAGCTCATGCCATGCCATCCCGGTGAGTTTCATTTCAGCCCGCGAGCTCATGCCATGGCATCCCGGTGAGTCTCATTTCAGCCCCCGAGCTCATGCCATGGCATCCCGGTGAGATTCATTTCAGCCCGCGAGCTCATGCCATGGCTTCCCGGTGAGTTTCATTTCAGCCCGCGAGCTCATGCCATGGCATCCCGGTGAGATTCATTTCAGCCCCCGAGCTCATGCCATGCCATCCCAGTCTGGCCTGGTCTGACCTCCCTGGTCTGGCCTGACCTCCCTGGTCTGGCCAGGCCTGACCTCCCTGGTCTGGTCTGGTTTGACCCCCCCCCCCCCCCCCCTCCTAATGGACCCCCACTCCCTCCTTCCCGTTCTTTTTTCCTCTGTCAGATATTGGTTCGACCCGGCCTTGTTTCCTCCTGAAGGCTGCAGCAGCAAGTATCGGTGAGGTGCGAAATCCGAGTGGAGCAAAGGTGGAATATGTCAAGGTGAAACGAATGATTGGTGTGAAAAGGCACCGAATCAAGCTATGTAATAACCCAAACATTAACACCACAATGCTGGATCTTTTTTTTTTCCCTCTCTCTGTCATTCACTAAGCTAGTCATTTCTGCAGTCTTTCCCCCGATCTCCTCTTTTCCCCCCTTAACTCCTCGTATTCCCTGCCCATATGTTCACCCCTTTTTTTATTTCCCCTTGTTTTTTGCCTCAAACCTTGTTCCCGTGCCTCCTCCCCTCTCCTTGGTTCCCCTGCCTCCTCCCCCTTCCTCCCTCCCGTTCTCTTCCAGCCCTGCACCAGCAGGCGAGGGGTGGGTGAGCAGCAGGCGGGTGCGAGTAGCAGGGGAAGGGAGGACATGGGAGCACAACCGAGCGAGACACAGTGTGGTATGAGAAACACGAGAAACAAGAAGTATTGAAAGCAAAGCAGAAAAGGAACGAAACAATCGTTCCTCCCCCATTAGCCCCCAGCAGGAGGTCGGCTGGGCTCACACAAACCAATGAGCTTATCACCCCCCCTGCCCCACTTAGCAACCCCCCTGCCCCACTTGCACACCCAAGTCCATCCCCGTTTTAATTTCTGTTTTTCCGTGTTTTGCTTGTTTTATTGGTTTATTGTCATTTTCATCATTTTTTCTTGTCAAATGGGGGGGTTATGGGGGTAGGGGGACTTAGGGGGACTTGGGGAAAGGAGGGGGCTGGGGGAATGAAGGGGGAAGAAACAGGCAGGAAAAGCGCTCCTCTCATTCACCTTTCCTCTCCTCCGCACCCTCTTCTCTCTTCCCCCCCTCTTCTCTCAGCAGAGGCAGCGATGGGGAGATGGCGGGTGGGTGTTTGACTGGATGGCGCAGGCAGCAGCAGGTTGAGTGGCGGTGGTGAGGGGGTGTGCGGGATGCTGCACCCACTCACCCAGGGTGCTTCGCTTCTCTTCACTGCCATCCACCTGCTGCCCCCGATATGCGCGCATCGTGGCACAGCGCGGCGCAGCTGATGCACTTGCCCTCGCTCCGCCCTGAGGTAAGGCGATAACGAGCAAGGCAACAACAGAACCAACAAACAAAGGGGAATCAGTGGGAAAAATGATCCAAGCAAGAACGAATGAAAGATAATGTCAGGCCTGCCATCCCTATGCCCCTCACACACACACACACCTGACGTTTCCATACCCCTCTCTCCCCCCCACCATGCATGCACTGCTTGCTTTATGCATGCACTGCTGACCCCATGCATGCACTGCTGCCCCCATGCATGCACTGCTGACCCCATGCATGCACTGCTGCCCCCATGCATGCACTGCTGCCCCATGGAAGGAGAGGGGTGCACGGCTGCTGTGCTTGCTTATGTCAACCCATGCCCCACTTATCATCCCCTCATGCCCCACTTATCACCCCCTCATGTCCCACTTATCACCCCCTCATGCCCCACTTATCACCCCCTCATGCCCCACTTATCACCCCCTCGTGCCCCACTTATCATCCCCCCTGCCCCACTTATCATCCCCCCTGCCCCACTTATCATCCCCTCATGCCCCACTTATCATCCCCCCTGCCCCACTTTTCATCCCCCCTGCCCCACTTTTCATCCTCTTCATCCCCCCCCATCCCCGCCATTTCGCCCCAAGCCCACCCCTTTCCCCCCCAATGCTCCTGAATCGTGTTTTCCACACTGGAAAATGCGGGTTCAGGGGCATTGGGGGGGAAAGGGGGGGACTTAGGGGGGACGTGGGGGGGTTGGGCTTGGGGGCAAAAGGGAAAAGACAGAGCGCAAGATACAAGGAAACCAAGGAGGTGGGTGGGAGCATTGGTAAGGGGAAGGGCTTAGGCTCGGGACCTTCCGAGCCTGCGGGTTCACGCTCGGCGCCATTCCCAAGCCAGGACTTTCTAAGCCCCCTTTTGGATTCGTGCACTTGTGCACTCCCTCCCTCTCCTCTCGTTTACTGTGCCTGGGTGAGCAGGTGGGGCAAGAAGCTGACGTATGTGTTTGGAGTGGGGAGGGATGGGGTTGCTGACGTCATCCGGAGATACACACAGCAATGGAGTGAGGTAGGGCAGATCAGACCCATTGCTCGACTCAGAGAAGCGAGGTAAGTCACGAGTAAGCAAGGGGTTTTGAGGCATCGCCTTCACATCACAACCCATGCAACAAGAGCAACAGCATTGTGGTTTCAACTCAAGTGCGAGCTGTTGCTCTCTCCTTAACTCCTCAGCCACTCCCCCTGCCTCCTGTTACCCCTCAACTCAACCCACGGCCCAACTCTCTCCCCCCCATATCATCAGCAGCACAGCTGCACAAAATCATATGAGCTGATTGGTGGGGTGGGGAGCAGTGGCAGTAGCAGTGGCAGCAGCTATACCAGCAGTAGTGGCAGTAGCCGCGGCAGTGGCAGCAGTGACCTTACAGGAGTGGCAACGATTTCTCGAGCTAGTTGTGGTCGCAGACCATCTGCTGACTCTTCTTTCCTACTAATCCTTCCTTTTTTCCTTTTTTTTTTTTTTTTTTTCATTTTCCCCCTTTTTTTTCCTTTTTACCTTTTTCCCCTGCCAACCTTCCTATTTCCCTAACCGCCCAGACCCTTTTCTTTTCACACAGCTCCAGCACAGGCCGACAGAAGCATCAGAGGCGGCTGTAACAGCAGCAGTGGCAGCGACAGTGGCAGCAGTGGCAACGAGGGCTGACGCTAGTGGCCATTGCAGACCATTGCTCGCTTTTTGTGCACAACATCCTGCCTTCTCCGCCTTTCTCCCTCCACCTCTTCCCCCACCTTCCAAACCCTCTCCCTCCCAATCAGCTCCAGCACAGGCAAATAGAAGCATCAGATGCAGCAGTAGCAGCAGCAGCGGCAGTGGCAGCGGTGACATCAAGGGCTCGAGCCAGGCTTGGTGTGATTGAGAAGAGGCGGTTGGAGGAGGAGGAAGTTAGTGGTCATTCAGGTGTATTTTGAGGCGCCTCAAAATACACCTCACTGTTTGAGGAGCCGTAAAATACACCTCACTGTTTGAGGCGCCTCGAAGTAGTGGTCATTCAGAACCGTTGCTCGCTCTTATGGACAAGCCATTGCTCCGTTCCCCCCCACCTCCTCACCCACTCCTTCCGCTTCCCCCAACCACCCATACCCTCTCCCACCCAATCAGCTGCAACACAGGCGCACAGAGGCATCAGAGGCGGCTGTAGCAGCGGCGGTGGCAGCGGTGACAGCAAGAGCTCGAGCTAGCCTTACTGTGGATGAGAGGAGGCGGTTGGAGGAGGGGGATGCAAAGGAGAGAGAGGAGCTGAGTGGAGTGAGGGGAGGAGGGAAGGAGGGAGGACGGGAGGGAGGGGAGAGGGATGGTGTGGTGTTGGGAGGGAGGCAGACCGGTTCTGTGGAGTGGAGAGCAGCAAGGGGGGAACTGGGGTTGGAGAGTGGTGAGGGTGATGGGGGGGACAGGGGGAAAGAGGGGAAGGATGGGAGGTTGGAGAGGAGGATGGTGGATGAGCATGTGGGTGCACTGCTGCTTGCTGTAGAGGACATGTGTCGTGATGTTATTGGCTCTCCAAGTCTTGAAGCAGCAGCAGCAGCAGCGCAGAAGTCGCTAGGCACATCTTTAGACGCTCTCCTCTCTCTGCTCTCTGTTCTCCGCTCGCTCCCCTTCCGCTCCCGCTCTGTGCCACTCAACGACAAACGATGCTATCCCTTTTGCACGATACTCTTGGATGCACTGCGTCTCAAAATTCTACTTCTATCATGCTGCTGCTGGTTGGATCGGTTACGGCTGGACGCTGCAGCAGCAGCACTGCTTGCCTTGGTAGGGTGGGGTGGAGCGCTCTGCATGCGCAGCTGCAGCTCTACAGTGGGGTAGTGCGGCTGCCGCTGGTTGGATCGATCGGTTACGGCTGGCTGGACGCTGCAGGCAGCAGCACTGCTTGCCTTGGTAGGGTAGGGTGGAGCGCTCTGCATGCGCAGCTGGAGCTCTACAGTGGGGTTTCTGCTGGTTGCATGCACAGTGTGGTTTCTGCTGGACGCTGCAGCAGCAGCAGCACTGCTTGCCTTGGTAGGGTGGGGTGGAGCGCTCTGCATGACGACTTTTGAGGCGCCTCAAAGGTTGGTTACGGCTGGACGCTGCAGCACTGCTTGCCTTGGTAGGGTGGGGTGGGGCGCTCTGGATGCACAGCTGCAGCACTGCAGTGCAGTGGGGTAGTGTGGCTACTGCTGGTGCTGGTTAGGCTTCTGCTGATGGGATTCGGCTACGAACAGCTGCAGCACTGCACTGTGTGTTGGGTGGGTTGTGGTGGGGTGAGGTGGGATTTGGTTCTGAGTGTCTTTCCTGCTACCCATGCTCCTTTCCTCATCTTCCTTCTCTGCCGCCGTTCCAATCTTATCCGTTCCCCTCTAAAACCCTTTCATTCCCCCTTCCCTTTACTTTCAGGCCCTTGCCCACACACCAAGAGCAGCGGCAGGAGAGAGCATGTGCGTGGTTGTGGCTGAGTGGCTTCTTTTTCCCCGTGCTTCTCTCCCCGTCTTCCTCTCCTTCCCTCCCCGCGCCAGGCCCTTGCCCACACACTAAGGGCAGCGGCAGGAGAGAACACGTGCGTGGCCGAGTGGCTTCTAGTTCCCCTTGCTCCTCTCCTCGCGCTCTTGCTCCTGCTTTCCTTATTCCTCTTGCTTCCCTCCCCTCGTCAGGCCCTTGCCCACACACCAGGAGCAGTGTGTGATAAGTCGATTTTTGAGTCGACTCAAAAATCGACTTATCACACACCCTTGCCCACACACCAGGAGCAGCGGCAGGAAAGAACATGTGTGTGGCAGAGGTGAGGCGGTGGGGATGAGGGGTCGAGAAAGGTCAAGAGTGGGAGAGAGTGAGGGGCTGGAGAGCGTGTGGGGGAGAAGAGAGTGAAGATGCGAGAGTGTGGGGGAAGGGAGGGACGAGGGGGAGGTTGAAGAGATAGAGAGGGGGAGGAGCAGCAAACATGTGTGGAGACAAAAATGGAGGTCTGTGCAGGCCGTAGCACGCACCCTTCCATGATAAGGAAGATCCATGATGCGGTGATTGTGGTGGAGGGGACTTTCGAGTCGACTCAATAGCTCACCTAGGTCTGTGCAGGCCGTAGCACGCACCCTTCCATGATGTGGTGGTAGTGGTGGAGGGGGTGTGTGTATGAAGAAGCGTTTTGAGACGTCTCAAAACACTTCTTCATACACGTAGCACCCTTCCATGAGGCGGCCGGAGTCAAAAAGGGAGGTCCGTGCAGGCCGTAGCACCCTTCCATGATGTGGTGGTAGTGGTGGAGGGATGGGAAGTGGATTTGAGAGTAAGGGGGGGGAGGGGAGGGCATGTGAAGATGCAGAGTACGGATTTCTTAGCTCGTTGTGCTTTGTGCAAGCTCGGGAGTTGAGCACAAGTGCGGGCAAGCCATGGATTGACTTGGCAAGCAAAGCTGTTTCACACCAACCATTGCAATGCGGGCCAAAGTGACTTTTGAGTCGACTCAAAAGTCACCTCAATTGCGGGCAAGCCAGGGATTCACTTGGCAGGCAAAGCTGTTTCACACCAGCCATTGCAATGCGGGCCAAAGCCAGAAGAAGGGCGTGGGGTGATTGATGGGAGGATGGGGCGATAATGTGATGGGTCAATGGGTGATGCAATGGTGGGGTAATGAGGCAATGGGATGATGGGTGATGGTATCTTGGGGTATTGCACGGGGCACAGTGCACTCAAGAACAAGGCACTCAAGAACAAGGCACTCAAGAACAAGGCACTCAAGAACAAGGCACTCAAGAACAAGGCACTCAAGAACAAGGCACTCAAGAACAAAGCACTCAAGAACAAGGCACTCAAGAACAAGGCACTCAAGAACAAGGCACTCAAGAACAAAGCACTCAAGAACAAGGCACTCAAGAACAAGGCACTCAAGAACAAGGCACTCAAGAACAAAGCAATCAAGAACAAAGCACTCAAGAACAAAGCACTCAAGAACAAGGCACTCAAGAACAAGGCACTCAAGAACAAGGCACTCAAGAACAAGGCACTCAAGAACAAGGCACTCCAGAACAAAGCACTCAGGCACAAAGCACTCAGGCACAAAGCACTCAGGCACAAAGCACTCAAGAACAAGGCACTCAAGAACAAGGCACTCAAGAACAATGCACTCAGGCACAAAGCACTCAGGCACAAAGCACTCAGGCACAAAGCACTCAAGAACAAGGCACTCAAGAACAAGGCACTCAAGAACAAAGCACTCAGGCACAAAGCACTCAGGCACAAAGCACTCAGGCACAAAGCACTCAAGAACAAGGCACTCAAGAACAAGGCACTCAAGAACAAGGCACTCAAGAACAAGGCACTCAAGAACAAGGCACTCAAGAACAAAGCACTCAGGCACAAAGCACTCAGGCACAAAGCACTCAGGCACAAAGCACTCAAGAACAAGGCACTCAAGAACAAGGTACTCAAGAACAAAGCACTCAGGCACAAAGCACTCAGGCACAAAGCACTCAGGCACAAAGCACTCAAGAACAAGGCACTCAAGAACAAGGCACTCAAGAACAAAACACTCAGGCACAAAGCACTCAGGCACAAGCACTCAGGCACAAAGCACTCAAGAACAAGGCACTCAAGAACAAGGCACTCAAGAACAAGGCACTCAAGAACAAGGCACTCAAGAACAAGGCACTCAGGCACAAAGCACTCAAGAACAAAGCACTCAAGAACAAGGCACTCAAGAACAAGGTACTCAAGAACAAGGCACTCAAGAACAAGGCACTCAAGAACAAGGCACTCAAGAACAAGGCACTCAAGAACAAACCTGAGAGTAACCTGAGAGTGACCTGAGAGTAACCTGAGAGTAACCTGAGAACAACCTGAGAGTAGCCTGAGAGTAACCTGAGAGTAACCTGAGAGTGACCTGAGAGTGACCTGAGAGTGACCTGAGAGTAACCTGGGAGTAACCTGAGAGTAACATGAGAGTAACCTGAGAGTAACCTGAGAGCAACATGAGAGTAACCTGAGAGTAACCTGAGAGCAACATGAGAGTAACCTGGGAGTAACCTGAGAGTAACATGAGAGTAACCTGAGAGTAACCTGAGAGCAACATGAGAGTAACCTGAGAGTAACCTGAGAGCAACATGAGAGTAACCTGGGAGTAACCTGAGAGTAACCTGTGAGTAACCTGAGAGTGACCTGAGAGTAACCTGAGAGTAACCTGAGAGTAACCTGAGAGTGACCTGAGAGTAACCTGAGAGTAACCTGAGAGTAACCTGAGAGTGACCTGAGAGTGACCTGAGAGTGACCTGAGAGTGACCTGAGAGTGACCTGAGAGTGACCTGGGAGTAAGCAGCTTGAGGCACCCAGCATCTTGGACCACAACCACCCATGCACCTCCTTCACCACCCATGCACCTCCTTCACCACCCACGCACCTCCTTCACCACCCACGCACCTCCTTCACCACCCATGCACCTCCTTCACCACCCACGCACCTCCTTCACCACCCATGCACCTCCTTCACCACCCACGCACCTCCTTCACCACCCACGCACCTCCTTCACCACCCACGCACCTCCTTCACCACCCACGCACCTCCTTCACCACCCACGCACCTCCTTCACCCAGCAGTCACCCAGCAGCTCTGACCCACTACTACAGCCCCCCTCCCTCTCCCGCGGCTATCTTTCTGCTTTTGGGGTTAGGGGAATTTTCAGTGGGAGGTTGATATGAGGTTCTCTTGATACGAGGATAGGAATACGCTCTAAGTCTATTTTTAAGTCAACTAAAAAATAGACTCATCACACGCAGCATCGCCCCCGATTCACCCGCATCCAGCTACCCCAATGGTCTGCTATCGTCCCATAAGCAGCGGCCCACGTCCACCCACCTCCTCTCTCTGTTCCTTTATTCAAACAGGGCATGGCTACAGTGCATAGCTGGTGGAAGGGGGAGGGGTGGGGGAAGGGAAGGGGGGGGTGCGAGGGGGGAAGGGGCGAGAAGGGAAAGGGTAAATAGCTCTGTGGCTTACGAAAGGGATGTGAGAGACAGCGCCGTGAGAGCAAGAGTCCTCATGGGTAGGCGACACAGGCGCGGAGTGAAGCTGGTAGAGGGAGGGTGGAAGCACGGCTTGAGAAGCAGTGAAGAGGGTAGTGGGTGGTGAAGAGAAGGTGCGGTGTAACTTGGCAAGGTGTGCACTGCACAATGACCGCATTTTTCTTGGGCTGTGTAATTATACTTCGGGAAATAGTAACTCTCAAGCAGTCTATTCAAATCAGGGTTTCATTCATCTTATTTTAGAGAATTGATTTTCTTTTTCCCACTATTCAAGGCCATGGTAGGAAAGTATTGATGTCACTAGTGGTACTGATTGTCTTCTTATTATGGATTAAGGTTGATACAAAGTCGGGGTAATTAAGATAAGGGGTGCTGATTGTGGTAGGTGTCCTTTACTAGTATTTTGAATCAGTTTTACATTGCATATATAAAATATACTAAAATGATAATACAGTGGTCCGAGTTCCCTTATTTGCCTCGAAGGGCTGGATTCGACTGGGGGCACGGACTAAAGCGGGGACCAATTTCGGTTTCCCTCCAAAACCAGCGATCTGAAAACATCCAACCAGCCACCATTGCACACCCTAGCAGCTCCCTCTCGCATGCTGCTGAGCACCATAGAAGGCGCTTAGGGCCAGCCCAGGCCGTCATTTTCTTAGGCTGCGGCATAGGCGGAATATTTGCAGTCGGGCGCGACGACAGACGAGGAGATGTATTCCTCCACTTGCCCGTCCAGGAAGCCCCGCCCCTCCGCCTTATCCACGTCCACCGGCCGGTGCAGCAGCGCGGCTAAGTGCGAATACTTAACCGCGCGCTGCAGCTGCTCCGGCGTGTTCCTAAAAGTCTGCCCCAGCACGCCGTGCACGGCTGACGTCATGTTGACGTCGGAGAGCTCCACGTTGAAGTGCGTCTCCGCCTCCGCCGGCGTCTGCAGCAGCGGATGCGCCACGCGCACGCGCACGTCCAGCTCCCCCAGCCCCACCACGCGCACCTGAAACTGATCCACGTCGAACGGCCCCTCCTTCTCCTCCGCGACTTTGGTAACCACCAGCCCGCTGTTCGTCGTGATCGATTCGCCGACGCTGGGAGGGGTGGTCGTGGCGCCGTCGATCTCGAGCAGCGAGAGGAAGCCGTTGTCGCCGCGCTCCTGCTGCTTGCCCTTGCGTGCCACCATGCGCAGCGTGTGGTTCGCGCCGTCGGGCGTCATCCACACGACGCCGATCTCCTTAATCCACGTGTGCAGCTCCGTGCTCGACTCCTTGTCCGTATTCGACGCGGAAACGGCGGGCGGCGTGCCCTGGTAGCCGTTCAGATGCATGTTGACGTGGAATCGACGGTCGGAGAAGAGGCAGAAGGAGCGGTCGAGGCGGCCCGTGAAGTCGTAGTGCGTGCCGTGCGCGCCCGTGAGATGCGGGTCGTTCTCGACGAGCGCCGTGCCGTTGCACAGCCCGCCCACGAAGCTCAGCGGGTAAGTCGCCGCGTTCGCCGCCTGCGTCGCCGCGTCGCCCGCCATGGGCGTCTTGAAGGAGCCCGACGTGCCCGTGCCGCCGTTCTTCTCCAGCAGGTAACACTGAATGCGGTCGATGAAGCCCGCCACCTTGGCATTTTCACCCGCCAGGCGCGAGCTGTCAGGAACGAACGAGAAAGAGAGCGAGAGTGAGAGAGGGGAGACGCGGAGGAAGGGGAGGGGCGAGGGGGGGAAACGGAAGTAGATTAGTCGCGAGTCAGAGCTATGACTTGACAGTCGTGTAATGCAACGTGAAAGCAATCACAGAAAAAAAACCAACAATTCACTTCGCGACGAGTCGAAATCAGCACATATTAATCTCAACCAATCCGCCGCGCTCACTTTTTGAACCAGTGCCATTCGTAGCAGTACGTGGAGCGCGCACACGCGCGGCAGCACTCCTGCAGCGTATCACCGTACACGCCCTTCACCACGTCGAAAATGGTCCCCACCTCCGTGTACCGCTCGAAATTCACAGGACCCGAACCGCGCTGGTGCGGCGTGAACTGCCCTCCCTGGCTGTTGAAGAGCCCCTGGTAGTCACCAATGTACTTGTAGTTTTGGTACGTGGATGTCGTGATTGTTGCGGTAGCGAGGTTGTCTATGTAGGGGCAGACATAACGAGTGTGGCAGCCGCCGGCGGGCATGTTGGTAGCGTGTGCGGCGTGGAGAAGGCAGAGAAGCGCGAGGGCCAAGTAAAGGCTGGTGGGAAACGCCATGCTTGACCGACGCTAACTATAAGTTGCTTCGAAAAAAACGCGTGTTGCGATGTTGGACGCTAGCTTGAAGAAGCGTGCGATGCAGAACTTGCCTGAGTGAAGCTGTTGGTGGTGATCAATGTGATGGTTGGAGTGGATGTGGTTCGACTCGTCAGTTTTATGAACGCAATATGGAAGTGTGTGTATTGCTTCTGGCAGGAATTGGATTTCTGTGCTGGGAAGCGGTGACCCTGGCCGTGGCGTACCGCATGGTACCGAGGTGCAAAGTGTGGAAACGCACGTAACCTACATGGGGTGGGGTGAATGAGACGAAAACCCAGCGAGTCGCACATTCTGCAAGAGGCAGGCTGAAGAAAGGTTGAATGTGATCACGCAGGCCACCACACGCGAAGCGCCCTCAAGGTCCCTCATGGGCCATGACCCACCCCACCCACCCCAACGACAGCTCGGATGAGTGGTGTCTGTCTGCCATGTAGTTCCATTCCAAGTACAGTACAGCTGTTCGTGAGGTGTTGATGCAGGGTGCATTCGTAGCGCACTGTGTTTCGGCTTCGCGAAGTTACCAAATCACACGAAGTGAACGAGATGTACACTCAGTCGAAATGAAGTGATGTCAATGAATGAGCGTCGCATACACTGTTGGCAAAAAACAATACGCTGCTTACATTTACTTACCACAAATGGTGTATGATTCTGGTAATTACAGAAGCTAACATCAGAAACTGATCACAGGAAATTACAAACTATACACAGTATAACTGATGGGCCGTACGTAGCTGAAACAACATGCATATATTCATGTATTGTACAACAAAGATATCAATCGGTAAATGTTCCAGTATTCCACCTACTATAACCTACCGAACATGTATTGTACTGTCTTCTCAAGCGATGATCTACTGAACTGTAAATACTATATCAACATTTCCAGGACAAACATTTCCAACTTCCAACCTACTACCAGCATCAGTGTAGAACCTTGCTCCAAGATAGATGGAGTTTCCCTGTTTCATCAGTGCCCTGACTCTCCCTACTCCCACCACCGCCACCTTCCCCTCCTTGACTCAACAACTCTGAACCAGCATCTTCGTTCCTATCCAGCCCCAAACCAGCCACGTACTCCCTCGTCCCCTCATTCCCCTGGCCCTTTCTGCTCCTCCTGCTCTTCCTAATCCAAGTGCCCGAGCACCGGCTTTTCAGTTGCACCACAAGCTTCCAGGTGAAAGTTGAAAGCCTCTGAAACCACTGAAGCAGCAGCTGCAGTAGAGGCCAGACCAGCAACAGTAGCGAAGACAGGCGAAGGGGCAGCAGCAGTTGCAGTAGGTGGATCGGAAGGTGGGTGTGCTCTCTTTCTTCCTTCCCTGCTACAGCATCCCCTGCATGCGGAGGTATGTGTGCAGGCATGCAGTGGAGGTGTGTGTGCAGGCATGCATGCGGAGGTGTGTGTGCAGGCATGCATGCGGAGGTGTGTGTGCAGGCATGTATGGATGCATACCCATAAAGACAGACACTCACAATGAGACTGGGGAGTGTTTTCAAGGGCATGCCGACAGTGTTGATTAGCGATGATAGGTGCCGTACACCGATGTTGGCAGATATGCATTTGAGGGGGTCATGTATCGGGGATTATTCGCTTGCAATTATACAGAAATACGTGAATATCTGCTTTAAAATCTCTTCTTGAATAGCATCACTTCCATAACTTTCGTTTAGCTCAAAGAATGTCAAACTCCACTCCCTCTCCCACCTGCCTTGGATTTTTTTTTTTTTTTTTTTTTTTTCTGCCTGCACCGTATTTTGATGTGTGTTCAGAACGGATCCCAAGCGAATTACGTATACATGCCAGTGTGTAATGGTGGCATAATCGGCAGCGTATGATTTGAGTCGACTCAAAACACGTGTGTTCAGAATAAATCCCAAGCATGTTCCGTATATATGCCAGTCACCAGTGTATAATGATGGCATAATCGGCAGTATATGGCTGTTGCCGCGCATGGTTGCTGGCTTGCATGATTGTGGCCATGCATGGTTGATGCCATGCATGGTTGATGCTATGCAGTGCTGCCTCTCACCTCAGATCCGCAGTATTTCTGCCGGCCACTATAGCTTGAATGCGCACTGCTGCTATACTTCAGTTGAGTACGCTTGTGACATTTCGGAGAATTCTCAAAAGCGATGCATGCGCGCAGCCGTTTCACTTGAGTATTTCCAAGGTGCCGTTATTGAGCAATACTGCAGTGCCTCGCCTCAGGTGGGTTGTGTCCTGGCCGGCCACCACAGCTCCAATGCGCGCTGCTGCCACTTCACTCTCTGATCGCGGTCTAGTGAGGTGACTTTTGAGTCGACTCAAAGTCTCCTGGCCGGCCACCACAGCTTCAATGCGCGCTGCTGCCACTTCACTCTCTGATCGCGGTCTAGTGAGGAGGAGAGGGGGGGAGAGAGGGAGAGATGGGGAAAACAGGAGAGGGTCAGAGGGAGAGAGGGAGAGAAGGGGAGAAGGGGAGAAGAGGGGAGGGGGAGAAGGGGGAGGGGGAGAAGAGGGGAGGGGGAGAAGGGGGAGGGGGAGAAGGGTGTAGGGGGAGAAGAGGGGAGGGGGAGAAGGGGGGAGGGGCGAAGGGGGAGATGGGGAGGGAGCAGGGAAAAGGTGAAGAGGGGGAAAGGGGTGAAGAAGTTGGGTACGAGCACAGGGAGTGGGGAATAGGTGTGAAAGAAGTGGTTAGGAGCACAGCAAGAGGAAAAGATGGGGAGAGGGATGAAAGAAGTGGTTAGGAGCACGGGAAGATGGGGAGAGGGGTGAAAGAAGTGGTTAGGAGCACGGGAAGATGGGGAGAGGGGTGAAAGAAGTGGTTAGGAGCACGGGAAGATGGGGAGAGGGGTGAAAGAAGTGGTTAGGAGCACGGGAAGATGGGGAGAAGGGTGAAAGAAGTGGTTAGGAGCACGTCAAGAGGGGAAGATGGGGAGAGGGGGGAAAGAAGTGGGAAAAGTGTTAGAGGCACACAGCCAGGAGCCCAGTAGAAGGACTCAGGAAGGGACAGGGAGGGACAAGGAGGGACAAGGAGGGACAAGGAGGGACAGGGAGGGACAAGGAGGGACAGGGAGGGACAGGGAGGGACGGGGAGGGACAGGGAGGGACGGGGAGGGACCCACATGGGGTGACTAGGTGGACCCAGCAAGCAGCGTGTGCTGCTGCACGCTGTTGCACGCTGCCATGTGTTGGCCTGCACCTGCACCTGCAGGCAGATGCCATGAAACGATTTTTGAGGCGCCTCAAAACCCGCACCTGCACCTGCACCTGCAGGCAGAGTGCCGTGAAACTCACCCTTCTTCTCCAGCACCTTTCCCCCTTCATCTTCCCCACTTCCTGCTTCCCCTTCCTCTTTTCCTCATCCCTTCCCTTGTGCAGCCCTTCCCTTGTGCAGCCCTTCCCTTCCCTTCGCCCTCCTGGTGTATGCAATCATCTTTTTCCGAGCGTTTATGCCCATACTGCGCGTCTCTTTTCGCTTGTATGAAACAAGCCGCGCACTCTTCCCTCGCAACGGCCCAGCCGATTTGCTTCTGCCTCTCTTCACTGCTTGCTTCCGTGGTGTAGGAAAACAAACTGCAGTAGTACGAGAAAAAGAATTCCAGCAAAAAGCACTGAGCACGAGCCTGCTGCCCGCTTTCATCCTCCTCCTCGCCTAACCATTCCCATCAGCTACTCTAATGCCGAGTCAGCTGAGCTGCTCGTCCTAGTCCCAGCTGCCGAGTCAGCTGAGCCCAGCTAGCTGAGGTTCTAGCTGGCCCCCTACTGGCCCACCCGGCATGCACCGCCTTCCAGCCTGGCCACCTTGAATTCAATCCGATGTGCGGCTCGGCTCTCACTTCACGCACTTCTTCGATCCTGCCTTGACAACTCGGCTCAAGAGCGCAACATACAGAACAGTACATCTAAAGGGAAAAGCAGCAAAAGCAACAGTAAATCAGCAAACAGTCTCACCCTTAGCTGCTGTGCCATTTACGCCAAGTCACTGACTTGGTGTCAATTTCGCGACGCCGGCCACCACAGCCTGTTGCACAAGCAGGAGAACCAATCACTTTGTACCGAGGTCTCGTCAACGCGTGTTGCACGGAGTATGTCTGATAAGCACTGATAGCGGGGCTAAGCTCACAATAACGTTTTGCAAAAACAGCAAGTTGCCTTGGGGATTCAGGAAGGGAGAATGACGGGGATTCAGGAAGGGAGAATGACGGGGATTCAGGAAGGGAGAATGACGGGGATTCATGAAGGGAGAATGACAGGAAGGGAGAATGATGGGGATTTAGAAAGGGATAATGAACCCCACCAACGGAGGCCTTACCAGCAGCAGCCACACCACCCCACTGCTGTGCTACAGCCGCGCATCCAGAGCACTCCACCCCACCCCACCAAGCAGTGCTGCTACTGCAGCGTCCTGCAGAAACCTATCTAACCAGCAGCCAGCTACACCACGCTGCTGCTGTGCTGCAGCTGCGAGTGCAGAGCGCTCCATGTTGCCATGTGGTGGCCCAAACCCTAATCCTACCTCATTGGCCACCACTCCCCATCCCACCCCACCATGTCCCGCCCCACCCCACTCCACCCCATGACATCCAACACCGCCCCACCCCACCGTGCAGTGCTGCAGCTGCGCGTCCAGCCGCGCCAGCAGTCTGTGGCGAGCCTGTGCTGCTGCTGCACGCTGCCGTGTGGTGGGCTGCAGGCGGAGAGGAGGGGACGGGAGAGGGGTCGATGTGGGGAGGCAATGCATGCGTGATGGTGGATTGGGGAAAGAGGTGACTTTTGAGTCGACTCAAAAAATGAACCCAGCAGCTGTGCTGTACGTTGTCACACGATGGCATGCATGCAGGCAAGTAGGGCAAGGGGGAGGGGGAGGGGGAGGGGGAGGAGAAGGGGGGAGGGGAACAGGATGAATGGGACCGGCAGCCTGTGGGGAGCTGTGCTGGCTGACCAATACTATGCATGTACTGACCAATGGGAAGAAGGAGAATTGCCGCCTGTGCGTCTCTGGCCCTCCACATGGCATCCCACGCCCTCTTCAGATCCTGCGGAAAGGCAGACGAATGAACGGTGGAGATTACAGTTGGAAAGGTAGGCAGAATAAAAAATCAATCGTTGATACTACAGTCATTTCATAGAGCAAGTCGATGTGCTTCAGTAAACGATCCAGAAAAGGTATGACAGACAAATAACGCTTATAGCGAGGATGTGGAGTGAGGAGGGGATGGATGAGGGGACCTGGGAGGTGAGATGCACGTCGATGAGCGAGGGATGCAAAAAAAAAAACACTAGAAGAAGAAGAAGAAGAAGAAGAGAACGAACAAAAACACTATTAGAAGTTTTGTGCACTGAAGCTACTAGTTCACGAATTAAGCGAGAGGGTTAGAGTACTCTCTCACTGTGACTTTTGAGTCGACTCAAAGGTCGCGAGCGGGTTAGAGTACTCTCTCACTGCGAACAGCCATTCGCGACAGTGAGACGCTATTCGCGACGTCTTGCTTTTGTGGGACGCATGCCTACATCAAATGCCACTCGGTGCTACTCGGTGCCACTCGGTGCCACGCGGTGCTACTCAGTGCACTCAACGGATACGTGACAACGTCCCATTGAGGGGGGGGGGTGAGATGGTACGACGGGAGCGAAGGGGAAGGTGACGGGCAGGAGGAGGATGCGGGAGGAGGAGAGACACTCGGCTCGTGCATGGGTTGATGTAGGAGGGAGGGAAGGAGAAGTGGTGCCTATAGTGAGATGGTATGGCTACTGTGAGATGGTGGGGGAGCAAAGGGGAAGGTGAAGGCGGGCAGAGGCGGAGGATGCGGGTGGGGGGGAGACACTCGGCTCGTGCATTGGGTGATGTAGGAAGGGGCATAGCATGATGGGATGAAGGGCGTGGCACGATGAGATGAATGGAGTGGCTGTGGATGCTGGGTATGGGGATGAACATATGGAATAAGGAAGGGAGGGCAGAGGGAGTACAAGGAGATGCCAGGGAGGGAGCAGAAGGGAGGACTTGAAAGGAAAGGAAAGGAAAGGGAAGGGAAGGGACGTGGGGGGAAGACGAAAGACGATGAGAGCAGAGGAATGTGGTTCAGAAGAAGGGATGTGAAGGGAAAGGGGGAGCGGAGAACGGAGCAGGTGTCAGGTTGTAAGAAAAAGACACATGCTCAAGCAACGACCAGCAAAGCTGGAATGTTGCTCTCATTGAGAGTTGAACTCAAGACCTCCCGCTTACTAAACGGGTGCTCTAACCAACTGAGCTATGAGAGCTGGTTTCCGAAATTTCCCGTGAAACATAGAGAAGGCGGATGTGGAATCTCAGAAGCACCACGGTTGTGAAGTGGGCTGCTGGGTCAATGGAAGAAGGGAGTCCTCCTTATCCACTCGCCACTGACTGCCTCTATCCTCACCGCCTCGACTGCCGCTGCTGCTGCGAGTCATGGCTCTGTCATGGCTTTTCACAAGTCCGAGCAGGGTGCTGTTCGTTGGTGGGGGAATGGAAAGGTCAGAGGGGAGGGAGGAAGGTCGGGGCTTAATTTTCAGAGGAGGAGGGCCGAGGTGGAAGACAGGCGATGATGACATTGCAGGCCAGCAAAGTAGCAGTGCAGGCCAGCAAACTAGCAGTGCAGGCCAGCAAATTAACAGTGCAGGCCTGCAAACTAGCATTGCAGGCCAGCGACCTAGCAGTGCAGGCCAGCAAACTAGGAGTGCAAGCCAGCAAACTAGCATTGCAGCGATGAGAGGCAGTGTTGGAACAAGACACATGGGAAGCGGTGCTCAGGCTCAGTCTGCCTCGTCGGCAAAACAGGTTCGTTATGCATCATCGGCAAAACAGGTTCGTTCTGCCTCGTCAGCAAAACAGGTACGTTCTGCCTCGTCAGCAAAACAGGTTCGTTCTGCCTCGTCAGCAAACAGGTTCGTTCTGCATCGTCGGCAAAATAGTTGCAAAACCAAAATACTGGGTGCGAGTAGGCGGAGACTCAAACAGAGACAGGCATGATCGGTAACAATGGATGGAAGAAGAGGGACAGGGTGAGGAAATTATTCAGATATCTCCGCCTACTCGGCTTCTCTCACCTCTGCTTTTGCACGTCGCCCTGCCTGACGCCAGCTGAAGAGCCATCCACAATCTCATATCCATGGCTCCTGCTACCTTAAAACCGCCCTCCCTCCCTACCTTTTTGTAAAACCTTCGTCTCCATCTTCTCCCCTAGTCCCTCCTACTTCGAAGCCAGTTCCCACCAATTGTTGCTCGTCCCCTCCATACCTCTGTTTTCCTGCTCTCACTGCTAATACAGAGCAGGTGCTGTTGGTGTGGAAGGGGAAGGTAAGGGGGGATGGGAGTGGGGGAAGGGGCAAAGAGGGTTGGACCATACTGCCGAGCGAGAAGATAGCTCACGCACTCTTGGTGAATCTGCCACGCTGCAAGACTTTGCATCTTGCAGTATTACGATGGGCTCCTTACTAGTTCAGGACAGTGCTGTTGATGAAGGAAGGGGAAGAGGGGAGAGAGAGTGCACCGGGCCAAAATAGAGGTGAGGATGGGGGAGGTGGACAGACGACATCTGATGGTATTGCGCGTGAAAAGCCAGGCACTCAGATTTATGACATCTCGTACTTGTTATGCCTGGCATCTCGTCAGAAAAGTAGCGCCAAAGATGATGTACGGAGTGCGGGAGGAGATGTTACGCTGGTAACTGAGATGGACGTGGGTGGGAGGGGTAGCAGCAGCACCGATGGTGGTGGCTCTGGAGGAGTGAAGGCAGTGGAGCAGAGGAGCCCCTCCACGAGCCACGAGCTCCACTGCCTTCACACTCCTCCAGAGCAGAGGAGCTCGTGGGCGTGCTGATGGGGCCAGGGTACACGAGGTAGGAGCGCGGTATTGGGTTGACTGTTGATTCGACTCAAAAATCAACTTGGGGCCAGGGTACACGAGGTAGGAGCGCGCGGTTTTGGCGAGATGGGCGAGATGGGCAGGCAAAGGGAAGCAGAGGGACAATTCAACGGCACAAGGGCGGGACCGGAGGCAAGGGGTATATGACACATTAGACTCTTGCTGCAGCAGCAGCGGGTGAAAACGTCTTTGCAGATAATGCCAGTATGCATTCAGCGCCTTCCGCCTCTCTTTCCCACCCTCTTCGGAATTTCACCGTATCCCCATACGCTCCCCCACACACAGCCTACTTCCTTCACTCATCCCAATCCCCCTCTCCTCTTACCCTGCCAGCAACTGCTCTGCTGCTTTCACCTTGCTTAATCCTGCCTTCCCCTGCAAATCTCGCCTTCTTTTCCTGCGGCGCTCTTGCCCATTGCTCCTGATTAGTTAGGAACATAAGAGTGCTTCACTCCCCCCATTGCCCTCTGGAAGAAACCCCCATCTGCTACGTCAGCCATATTCCCACTCTTGTGCAACTGGCAATGCCATGTGGCAGGCCCGGGAGATTCCACAACAGCCGATGAAGCTCAGTGGCGAGAAGGAGGCAGAGGGAGGAGGTGAAGTGGGCGAGAGTGGAGGGGAAGGGGCAGGTGGAGGAGGTGGGAGGGGAAGGGTGGGAGGGAGGCGAGGGCTTGCAGTGTGACGTTGAGGGCAACACGCGGATACTGCAACACATGTCGCCATGTGCTGCTGAGGGGACTGGTGGTGGGGACGGACAGGGGGCAAAGAAGGGTACGAAGGAGGAGGGAGGGGAACAGAAGTCCAAAAGAGCAGACGGCGAACAGAAATGAGAAGCGAGAGCGGGCGGGGAAATGCGAGGAAGCAGAGAGTGTTTTGGGGGGAGGGACGGGAAGAGGGGGGAGGGAGTGAAGGAACGATGAAAGGAGAGAGAAATGGAGGACGGGGTTGGAGAAATTGTACTGTTTTTGAGAAGACTGGTGGTGGGATGGTAGGGGGGAAAGGAGGTCTGACAAGGCAGAAGGTGAAAAGGATGCGACGCAAGAGAGGGTATGGGAAACGCCCGAGGAGAGGGCGAGCTGCAAGGGCCAAGGGAGAAGGCGGTCACTAGGGATGGATCTACTTTTGAGGCGAGAGGCCAAAGTGACTCTAGAGTCGAGTAGACTCAAAAGTCACTGCGGAGGAGAGAGCGAGCTGCAAAGGCAACGGGAAAGAGCACTCAGACGAAAGGATGAATCTGATTTTTGTTTTGGCTCCTCAAGCACAAATGGGCATGCAGCGAGGAGAGGTCAGGGAGAGGGCATGAGCCACATGGACGGGAAATCAGGCGGTTTATGAAAACTCTTAAGTACCGCCTGTAACAACATGGAGGGCATGTGTCACATGAACAGGTAGGCACGGCAGGGGCGCTACTTTGGTCCCAAGCAAAGAGAATGCGGACAGACGGGGGATTAGCTGGGATGCATGAGGGAGGACTGATGGAAAAGGTAAGCCCATCTCCATATGTTCCGCATTGCCTTCCTTCCAAAGCCTGCTATCCCGTACCCCTCTCATAGTCTTTTCCCCCTCCCCACCACTGTCCACTCCTCTCTACCGCTGTCCCCCTCTCTCGTCCTCTCTCCACTCCTCTCCCTCTCTCCAAACCTCTCTCCCATCCACCCCTTCCCCACCATCACTCTCTCTCATCCCATTCCTCAGGGATAGACGCCCCCCAACCCTCTCGCCTGAACGCCCCTTGCTTTCGTCTCTAACCTTTGCTCACCACTGCTCACCTCTGCGTGCCGACCAGCTTCCACGCCTATATCTCCACACCGCACGCCTCTCCACCGCTCTATGCACGCACCCCTCTCCCTTCTTCGCACCGTGTCACCCACATATCCATCAAATC